TCCTAATACCATAAAAATGATTGGAAAAAAAAATTAATCGTAAGAAAGGTTTTAAAAATGGAACCACTTTTTAAGCATTATTCCAAATTGTGTGATACCCTGTTCTACGATGGAGGAGTGAAATATATTTTTCAGTTTTATTCCTATTATCTTTGAAGAGTTCTAGCTCGCTGAAAAAAGGTCTCTGTTTCTTCGCATTGATAGTAAGCCACCTTATTGTTTGACGAAAGAGCTAATTATATTTTTTAATGTATCTCTATTAGTTCTAAACTTCTAAAAAACCTCTCAAAAAGCTTTAATTCTTTATTGCTTACCTTAAACAAAGTCTATTCAGATCTTTGATCTTAATCATCGGACATATTTAGAAGCATAGCGCATATTTCATAGTTTCAGAATAAAAAAGAAAGGAAAAGAATAACACAGCAGATTTTAATAGTATGAAAGGGAGATTATTTTTTCTGCTTTGAGTTACAAAAAATAAGTCAACGGATTAACTTCACCTTTTCTACAAAACTGATTACGTCACGCGAATTTGGTTGAATTTCTTACTGATTGTTTTTTGCAGCATTGACTTCTTGGACATAATAGACAAATTTACAATTTGCTCTTAGAAATATCTATACCTAATAAACCACGACGCTTATTTTCTGTTACGATTGATAAGATACGCAATATTTCAGTAAAAAGGAATAAAATTTTAGAAAAATGTGCAGACAAAACGGAGATTTTAAAGGACCAACGCATAAATTAGTTTGTTATCTATTTTTACTCATCGGCATTAAAATAAAATCTAGTTGCCCCCTTCGATTTCTGGTGGCTGCTGTTTTTCATTCTGTAAGGCTACTATCGGGTACAAAAATAATCATTTGTTTAACAACTAAACAAATATCCGGAAGCCTGTATTTTATAATGCTGATGTCAGACATCCTGGTTCAGTTTATATGGTGGTCCTTATATCTACAGCGAAATAAAATTTACGCTTTCATTAAGTCATTGACTAATGTTGAGTTAAAGAAGATGGAGAGGCGTTCCATAGGGTGGACGATTACTGCGAGCATATTTTTGTGCCCCGCTTTTGCTCATGTCTTACAAGATTTGGTGAAATACACTTTTTATAAGAATTTCGACGATTCCTCGTGCGAAACACTTTCTGTTCTGTCTGGTGTTCCACACGGTTGGATAATAAATTTCGTGGCATCTGCTGCGACGAGTTACACTGCTTACTTTTTGTTCTTCGTGACAGCTGCCCTGTACTGCCTCTGCTGCCTTTCGATTGTTGAACGTTGGAAAATGTCGAGGGCTGACCAGTCATGGCTGCAATGTGAACAGCAAATTCAAGCCGTACAAATCCTCGAGCGCCTCATGTCCTTTCCCATTCTAGTCATTTTCTGCAAAATCACCATCGATGTTTTCACCACCGTTCTGCTCGTCACTCGTTCTGCAAAACATGATGACCTCAATATGGTTTTCATAATCGTATGCTTGCAACTATCCGTCTGGTTTCTTTGTATCGTTTTTAGTGTTGATTGTCTTCAAAAAAGCTGCATGCGAAACGTGGAAACGGCTCTTCGCTACAGGAAGCAATTAACGATTCGTGGACGCGAGCTGGACTTTTTGGATTATATGGAAATGGAGAAAAACAGTCGTTTGACAGGTTGGAACATGTTTGATATTCAGCGGCATTTGTTAATGACTGCAACAGCTACGCTTATAACATACAGTGTCATTCTGATGCAACTGAATGAAAAATAAAAACTCTTGATGGAGAATAAAATGAACTCGGGATTTTGAAAGTTATAACTCACGATGCTATTTTGCTGGAAGATAATTTCTTATCTAGTACACTCTACGTTTTATAACACTTAATATTATAGACTATTTAAGGTATATTTAATTGATACTAATCATTTCGCAGCTTATTATGCAATTTTTGTTCCTGTTTTGTACTTGATCCTCCGTATGTATATTCAATCCTCTGCACAGATTGATATTTCTAAATAAAGTCAGATGTAAGAAAACTCTTCTTCTTTTTCTTTTTGCCTCTGAAACAATAAATGCTTTTTTCCTCCATGAATATTTTTCTATTGCTCTTTCAATTTTAAACCAATTAAAGCTATACAAGATAAGTTTTCAAAAAGCTTGTAAGAGGTATACTTTAGATAACAATGATTTATCTTCATGACTTTGATATATATATATATANGCTCTTTCTCATACTTTAATACTTACATCCTGTCTTTTAATCTATTTTTGGCTTCAAGTTATGCACGTTAATTAACATTTTATAATTTTCCCTTTACGAACCGCGAGAAAGATTTTTTATACACTTCCTATTAGTATTTATTTTACAATGTTAACCAATTTATACACGAATGTAGACAAGTACAAACCGGTTTCAGTCGCGTAAAAATAATAAAGCTGTATAATATGACCTGATAATTAAGATTTTACATAGAATCTTATAGTGCGTCTGACTATAAGATTCTAACATTTCGACCCGGGACTGCAACTATTGAATTTGATCTGTGTCTTAACAAATTTGAGGGAGTATTTGACTAGAAGTAACAATGATTTTATTAATCATGGGAGCTGTTGGTATTTGTGATTAACTTGTTATAATTCTATAATAATTTTAACCAGTTTAAGTTAGAAATATAGAATAGTTTTATTGTGAAAGTGTTTGAAAATAATATTTACTATGACGGCTTTGATGGTTAAATGTAAAAAATTAATATAATCTGATTTCAATAAAAAAAAATTATTGAAATAAAAAAAATTATGTTTGCCATCCCTGATATCAATATAAATGTCTATATTAATTGAATCAACTTCTGTAATTCTTTACTGAAAATAAAAATTTCTAATCAGTCGATATTAGCATAACTTAAAAAGACATTGTCTTAAAAAACAAAATAAATTATATTTAATGGCTGAAATTGCTTACTTCCAGGTTCTATTCCCAAATATGTATAAAGATATGATAGTCAAGATTATATATGTAGATTAATTTTGTTAATAATTAGCATTTAAAAAATACTTTATAAGTTTTGTTCAACCATTCTTGAGTTTCACCTTTCCTAAAGAATCATTCATATATTTTTTTAACACGTAATAAGAAAAAATATTTAAATTTACATCCAAAAACAAATGATGTTTATAACATTGAAAAAAATACGAAAATATAGACAAATTGATATTTTTACATAAAATAAATAAAAAAAATCGTTATTTTTAAAAACTTTTAATCCCACTTTGGTAAAAAAATTAAAGCTTTAATTAATTTATATCTTATTATTAAAATATTCTTTAAATTGTTTTTCTGTACACGCATTTTATGATAAAATAGCAAAAACAAATTCCTACAGATTCCTTCTTTCTCAGATTTATAGATGATCTTTTGGCTATTAATTTTAACGATTTTGATATTTTAGCTAAACCAATTTATCCAAGTGAATTAATTCTTAATAAAATTAATATTTCAATTTCTTCAGCAAGTTTTCTAGATTTAACTCTTAAAATTAATGAAGGTAGAAAGAAAATACGAAAAAGAAAATACGATTATATGTAAACTTATTGACACAAGAAATGATTTTAACTTTCCAATGAAAATGATTTATTTTAATTCCCACTTAGTCAATAAGGTTTTTTCCTGTACCAATCAGATTTTTTGGTTTTACATAAATAATTAAAATTATAAAAAGTTTTTTTTTAAAGAAGACTGATAAATTTAAATCATATTAAATTAGTAACCATTTTTCTCAGTCATTCCTTGAATTTCATTTTTAAAAAAATTTAAACCACTAGTTTATATAGATTTCGCACTGATTTAATTTTTAAGATAGGAACTAATTATAATAAGCTATTCCTAAAGCCACTCGATGGAATAGTTTGGATGTAAGTACTTTTATACAGAATCAATTAATTTATTAAGTAAAGTTCTAAATAAATTGTGGTCTTTATAAAACAATTTTAATAATTTAATTTGAATTGTCCAGTGCAATTAACAGTTTTTTCAATACAATAATGCTAATACAATAGTTATATACTCAATACAATACTAACACATTGTATTATATATCAATGCAATAGTTACTCAATACAATACTAACACATTGTATTGTATATCAATACAATAGTTACTCAATACAATACTAACACATTGCATTATATATCAATACAATAGTTACTCACACTATTGTATTGATATATTTTGCTTTGGCTATATTAATTCAATATTAGAAATTTATTTGTGGATATAATTGTGTGAGCAGATGACGAGATTATATCTTTTCTTTACGTTGTTTTACGGTTTTTTTAACCTTTTTTTTAAAATCATAAGTTTTTTTTTAAAATTATTTTTAATAATTTTTCTTCTTCTCTTTAAGAAAGTTTTTCTTTTTGCTTATTAAAAATATTTTGCATTTTTAACTTTGTATTTTTATTTTTTTAATTTCTTTGTATTCAGTATTTACATTATAACTTTTTCGTAAGAAGTGATGTATATATTTTATTATAATTAAATATATTTCTTTTACACTATATATATATATATATCAATATAATCTTGCTGGGAAGAATTATCTGGGCTTTAGAACAGGCAAATAGCCTAAATATTTTAAAAGTTATTAAACTTTTTTAAAAAATCGCCAATTTAATTACATATTTCCACCTAGATGAAAATTATCAAAATCTCTACCTTATTCTCAGTTTTTGAAAATTTTATGAGCCCAAGTAATGCAGCATTGGAGTGAGTTTTTAAATACTAAAAAATTAAACCTTAAACACTTNTCGAAAATATATTTAATTCTCCAACGTTTAAAAAAAAATCTCAAATGGCTTAGATTAGAATGGAAAGTACGTAAACGCTTATTAGTTCACAGGAAAGCGCTAAAGGAAATGTTTCTTCAAGTTAGCTACAAAAATAATATTAACTTACTCTATTTTAACTTCCTAGATTAATCATAAAACCACACCAGTGATTGTAAATAATAGCGCCAATTCTGGCGACAACCGATAAGAATACCTCGATCCAGGAATTACAGAAATATTTTTTTTCCTCATCTCTCTCGGCTGATGAAATTGGAGTCAGGGCTTTCAGAATATTCACGATTTTAGAAGGATTGTAAGTAAGTTCTGAATTTAGAGTGTTTTATTTTTCTTAATGATGATGATAAACGAACAATTGTAGTGAGGGTAATGAAAGCTTTTTTCTTTATTGATATTTAAATAAAACGTCATGATTTTCCACTAAGATCGCTGTTGACACCCATAACTGTTGACGTTGCAGCGGCTAGAGGGAGGAAACGAGGAAGTGTTCTTATGCCATTGGCGACGTTTCTCTTCAGATGTTTGCCTGAATTGGCTGTAAATCGCTACTTATTGATCATTTCTCTCCTCTTGTCAAAAATTTTATAATGTTAAACGAATTGCAAAATAATGTTATCTCAAAATCAGTGTTATCATCATGTTATCTTATCAGTTTATTTCATTAAAAATTTTTTTAGCTTTAATGCATATCATTAATGGTAATATGATAAAAATTAATACCATTACTGAACTATATTCATATTTTTGATTATTGAATTTCTTTCTTAACGAAAAAAGACTCATAAAAATCATTAAATTCTACATTCCGATAAAAATATTTTAGTAAGTCAAAATAAAATATATTATTTCTTATAAAGATATATATTTATGCGAAGAAAAATATTTTATTCTGATAAAAATGTTATACGCATACTTTTTTTTCCAATTTTTTTATTTTATTTATTTTTTTACTAGAAAGGTTTTGAATATCATGCCATTAAAAATTATATACTCGCCATTCAAATTCGGATAAAAGTGTATGTTCTCAATTTTGAATGAGCGCAAAGAAATAGCATCTTTTTTAATTTGACAAAATTGTTTGTCTTCCGATATTTATTAGAATTTCCTATATTTATTATTTATTGGAGCTTTTAGTTCGCTGTTCTTTTCCTTTCATGTTTAATTACTATGTTTAAAGAGAACGATATTATATTTTAAAGAAAGCTCATAGTATTAAAAAATAATAATGAATTATCCATCACTATCAAAGATTAGAAAATTTTCAAACAGATCGGGGTTTTTTTTCCTACAACTTACAGCTTAGGCATTATTATTATTTTAAAAAAGAAGATGAAATTGCGACTATGAATATTTTAGGGATTGTAAATTAATCCTTGAATGTAGAAAAAAGTAATAACTTTGATCAAGCGCTATTTTCCGTGCAACTAAAGAAAACAACGTCAATGTTTCACAATAGATTCCGAGAAAAGTAGCTTGACAACTATTTCTTTTGTAGTGTTAACTCTATAAACTCTAAATTAGAATTAAAAAAAACTGATATAAAAAGTTATTATTTTTTTTAAAATTCTCTTTGAAATAACTAGCTTATCATACAAAAATGTTAAATACATAAAATTCTCAATTTTGAATTTTTTGCCGCTTACTTTGATTTTTCTATTGTACATCACTAGTAGGTTCCAAAACAGCTTTGAACGAAGGTTCACGTTAATTGTATCCTAATGTTTCGTGCGTCACAAAAAGTATTTTAAGAGTATTTCGTAATGACGAACTTCAGAACTTTTAAAAAATAAAGTAAGAAAATTAGAAGAGTTACAACTAAGCGAGAGAAAAAACAGTAAAAAAATTGTATCAAAACCTGACATATACTGTCATAACCTGACCTGACATAAACCTGACCAAGACATATACTGTTTCTAGTAATATAGGGAGGCGGGTGGAATAAAAACATCAAAACCAGTTTCATGGCCTTTTAAAATTTGTTGTGTTTCTTTTATTTATAGTTAAATTTCTCTCAGTTTCCTCCTGCTGTCCAGGGTTTTGATATTTTGAGTCCCGTCTACACTCTAATTTGTTTCATTTCAATTGTATGCTAGTTTTTTTTTTGTTTTGATTTATACGATATTATTTATGAAGTGTTGAAATATTTATTTATTATAATTTTAAAAAAAATTAGAAAATCCTTAACTTGTGACTCCTAATTTGCCTAGATTCATGTTTGAAACAATTATAAAAATCCTTATTCATGATGTTTATTACTAAGCACACTATAATAGTGTTTCTCTCTGAACGGAAAACTTTGATGTTCATCTAAAAGTGAAAAAAACCGTTGATTAAGATTTGAAATGAATCATCTATATCTCAGGAGTCATAAACGAGATTTGATACATAATTGTGATAAAGAAAAAGATGCATAAGTCATTACAGGCTAAGGTTATATGACGACGACTTTTATTCTTTACGCGTCATCATTGACGACTTCAATGTCGAAATCTTTTGTTGAGAAACTTCTTTCTTTTAAATAATGTACTTGTTTCGGAAAAGTAAGTTTTCTCTTTTTATTCACTCAAAGGATCCGTTAATTCAAATAGTTGACAGTTTAACTAAATATTAAAGTATTAGATATACCAGAAAATCTCGCTTTGCAAAGGAATAGGTATGTTGCAGCGAGAGTACGAAACATGGTGAATGTAAACATACTTATAATCGCTCTGGAGAATGATCCTATTTAATATTCGATTAGGTATCTATAATATAATATCTATTGATAGTACCAATTAATCTATTGATAATACCGATCTTTGCTATAAAGGACACCGTGCAAGGCTGTACCGAGCAATATCTCTTACTCTTGAATTGAAATATATGTCTGTATATATAAAACTGGATTTGCTCTAGGAAATAATATAATACACTGGATAATTAAATGTTTTTAATTAATAAAATATCAAATTTCAATTACAATCATATTTTAATATTATGATTTATTTTATAGCAGTTTTTCTGAATTATCCAGTATAATATATTATTACCTTGCGCAAATCCAATTTATCGGATTAGATCAGAAATTATTATATATATATATTTAAAAGATTTAAGACTTAATAACCGTGCATAAGCTGCAAGTACATAGAACCTATAAAGGAAGATAAAAACACGAAGAAAACAGAGAAATAAATAAAAAAAAATTTAGAAGAAGAGAAGAAAAAAAAGCAAAATGTATTAAAAATTAAAAAAAATAAGTAATTAAATAGAAATTAATTAAAAATATTTACAATGAAAAGATATATCGAATCAGAAGTTAGGAACCGCATTTTATTTGTCTGTTACATTAAAGCGATCAGAATTTTGCTCTAGGTCAGGGATGGCGAACCAATGGCACGCGTGCCATTTATGGCACGTGACACAATATTTTGGGCACCCCACCGATCGCAATTGTTCTTGCACTATGAATTGTTATTACACAAATGTTATTAAATTATGAAGCATATGTAACAATTAAATTAAAAATCACAAAAACAAACAAAATAATAAACAACTATTATTTAAAAAATTAACAATTAATGCTAAAAAAACAATTAATAACCATAAAAAGCAAATTAACAATAAGTAACTAGCAAAAAAAAATAACAGTTTTGCTTAAACTAACATCTTACAACATAATATAAGTTATTTGTCATCTAAATGTATTTTTTTCCCAATGTAAATAGTCTTGAGTTGATAGTATTTAGTATTATTATCTTCCCAATAATCACGAAGTGGCTGATGAAATTGGANTCAAAATTACTTGACGGCACGTCTATGACATCATTAAACAGTTTTTTTGAAAAAATGGCACATTGGTGTATAAAGGTTCGCCACCCCTGCTCTAGGTAATAGTATATTATACTAGATAATTCAAAAAATTGCTATAAAGTAAATCGGATTAAAATATTGTAATTCAAATTTGACATTTCATTAAATGAAAACTTTTAACTATTCAGAGCATTACATTTTTTTTTACGCAAATCCAGTTTTAAGGCCAATCTATTTTATTTTATAACTATCGTTGAACAGCCGATCCAATTTTGGGCAACTAATGTTCATCTCCCTACACTGGTGAAATTATGTAAGAGAATTTGCATATATTTTATCGAATTTCACAAAAAGAACTGAACTGAATGTAAAACCACTGCTTCTAGACAAAAATGCAAATCTTGTACATGAAATACGTCAGCGCACACGTGTGAGAAGGAGGAGCCAGTATGAGTGCGCGTGAGTTAAGACGCATTTCGTTCGCTAGCACACCTCGGTGAATTTCTTGGTGTTATTTTGCAGCAATAGGTTAAATTTTCAAATTACAACAGTAAAAATGAGTAACTACTAACATTTAGATGATAAAATGAGGTGGCGAATTGTGCGGAGGCTAGAAGCAGGCCAATCTCAGGTACAGATTTGTAGAAAGTTCAATTTAGCACCCAGTGTCGTGCGTTACTTATGGAAACAGTACCAGGATACCGGATTCCTCGAGATAAAGCCTGGACAAGGTTGTCCAAGATCCACGACGGCCAGAGAAGATCACCATTTGTCCATTATAGCGAGGCGTAACAGAGGGGCTTCAGCTCTCTCGTAACTTGTACGCAGTCACAGGAATCAGTGTATCACGGGTGACTGTTTCTAAACGACTTCGTGAGAGAGGGTTGTTTGCAAGATGGCCTGCTCCTTGCACCCAGCTCACTTCTACGAACAGGAAAATGGCTCTCAGCATGATACAGAGAGCATAGAGATTGGAATATGGATCAATGGGCGACCGTTCTCTTCACTGATGAGTCCCGGCTCACCCTACGTTCATATGGAGAGAACCAGGGACCCGCTACCTTTCCTCCAAAGTCCGTGAAATCGACCATTGATCGGGACAGGCATCATGTTGGATAGTCGCTTACTTCTCCATGTCTTTGAAAGAGGCTCTGTGACTGGTATTGCGTATAGGGATGAGGTCTTGGAGCCCTATGTTCACTTTTTCATTGATGCAGTTGACCTTGAGTTCATTTATAGCATAGAGCTTTTCTGGTCGACGAATTTCTAGAGAGTAAGGATATATTCACCGGATGGATAGGCCAGCCAGATCTCCAATCCTCAACCTTATAGAATAAGTCTTGAACTCTCTGGAGAGGCAATTACTGCTTGCTACCCCCCTCCGAGTAACACCCAGGAAATGAAAACAGCTTTCCTGAACGAGTGAGACCGCAGGAACTGTCTTATTTCAAGTATGACATCAGACTGCAAAGCCTGTATATCTGTAAGAGGGGACCATACCCCATTCTTTTTGTGTTTATTCTGCAACAGTTGTTTCATACCTTCTGACTCCAACGAGTGATACGCACGATCATGCGTGTGTACTTCAATTGTTGAATGGTTATTTCTTTTGTATTGTATCAATGTATGTACACATCGAATTTTATTAAAATCGGTTAAGTAGTCCTAGAGACAATCGACCAAGTAGGTAAATTATCTTAAATTCTTACACCAGTGTAGTTTTGAAATCAATTCATAATGCAAGGGAACTCCAGAATCAAGTATTGATCGATATTTACCGTCCTATAAACGGGTTGTGACAAGTGTGTAGCAGCAGTCGTATTGTTGGCCGTAGATGGCGCCACTGAAGAACAAGAAACGCACCCTCTGTTTTAAATTCGCACAGTTTCACCAAGCAGGCTTGCTGATATTGGCTAGTGGTGTTAAGAACCAAAAAAAATCAAATGGGGTTGTTAACTTTATTATGAACGCCCCTTAACAATATATCCTACCATTCTTTATTTATGTTTTAATTTCATATTTTATAATTTGTCAACTTAGTTATGAAAATATTTTTAAACCATATTTGTATGTTATTCGTAAGTACATGTCATCCTTTTTACCTTCTCTCATTATATATTCCCATTTGTATTTCCTTTTAAATTATTTAAAAAAAAAAATTATAAATTTTTGTGATATTTTTGCTTGATAAAATTTTGTTTACGAATCGGTTTCTTTTTTTATCGTTGGTTCTCGTCGCACTATTGTAGTAATATATTCAGCTTTATCTATATTAATGCTATGTTAGAAAGCACTATTTTTATGGATATAATCTTGTGAACTGTTGACGAGGCTATATCGTTTCGTTTCTTACATTTTCTGTTTATAATTATATATATATTTTTTAATTGTTTAATAATTTTTATTTTATTTATTTTAATTCTCTTTCAAAATATTTATCTATATATATATTATAAATATTCAGTTTTTAACCGTCGTTGAACAGCTGACCCAGTTTTTGCTTTTTATCACTACTAATGTTCAATTTCGTAGACTTGTCATTTTGAATGTAATCCAGAAGACGAGGGGACTCCGGAATCAAGTATTAGGAGTAATTTGCCTTCGTGGAGAACTTTTTTGATGGAACTGACCAACGCCTCCTAGAAGAAGGAAGGCCTCAGCACGGATCAATTTAGTAGTCCAACATAACGAATATGAACTGCGCTATGAGTGAAAATAAGAAAGATGTCATTACGTTTGGACTACTAAAGGATCAAATTTCTTGTTTCTAGTAACCAGCGCTGATGCCTTCCCTTTTAAGGAGGTATTAAACTTACCCGTTTCGCCGTGCATGGAGAGAAAATCTAACACGGTTAGCCTGATGACAAGGGGACTTCAACCCATGATCCGTCGACCACTGAGGATATTTTGTGTCAGCACTTATCATCCATTATAATTATGCATCATAAATATATATTATAACTTTGTGTTATAATTATATATTCTAATTATGCATTAAAATTATATTAAATAACTGTGCACAAAAAAAATTTCGTTTATCGTAAATTCCTGAGGTATGGTGGAATGCACGAAAAGTAATACTAACTTTTAGGTGTTTTCAAAAGAGTTATTGGAACCATATATTCAGGAATGTGACTCATACTTTAGTTGGTTCGTAGTATTTGTCCTATTGACGTTTTGACAATACAAAAAAAAACTCTTATAGAAAAAATGGCTTTTTGTCAATTATCAACTTAATGAAATTGTTTCCTTTAGAAGAAAAAAAAAACGAGTTTTTGTAATTTTTGTGAGGGAATTTAAAAACATGCTGGTCTTTCATCGCGGTAACTTTGTACTTTAGCGAAATGTTAATCCCTTTTTAAAACCAGCTTAATATAAAATAACCAGCTTGATATAAAAGCTTCTTGTTATTGTTTATTCAGTTCAAATTCGCGTTATCCATATTTTAAAGTGTCAAAACAGTTATTGTTTTGAATAAAATGTAAAATTTTCGGAAATCGTGAAATGTTTAATGTCTTTCTTCGAGTTCAAGATATCAAAGTTTTGACTATATATATAGTGAAACATCTTGAGAGCGACCACTCTCCGTTCCACAGTAAAATGATCGTTATTAGAGGTTACCTCCATTGTGACTTCCAAAATTGTAATCAAAGGAGCATTATTTTTCGAAAACGATTTTAACTTTAGTCAGTGTCATTTCCTTTGAGTGGAACTTTTGGTCGGAGTCGTAAAAAGACCGGATCTATGTAATAACATTTAACGTCTGTAAAAATGATCCCAACTGATATAATTATGTGGAAAAAAGCAAATTTACCAATTCTGAATGATGAAGTTATTTTAAATCAATAAATAATTATGTTTTTTGTTTAAGTTCGCATTTAATTTTATGTCATGAAAATGAGTTTACTTTAAAAGATGGGAAGAAGTTTGTTTGTTTGGGATGCTTGCTTTTTTCTAAAAAAGAACTTTTTTTTCTAATTTGACTTTCAACTCTAGTAAATCATCGATAGCATCGTCTTTAGTGTACACTCTGACTGCAACATGAGGATGTTATCGTCAAAAAGAGCTCTCTTTATTAGTGTCTCACACAAATATTTTGAATACATTTTAATCTACTTGTTTGTTTTTGTTAAATTTTTTGTTCCGATATTTTTCGCGTTTCCTTAATTGACCTTTTCCACATTTGGTACATATGTTTGCCTTGTCGCCTAGAGAGGTTTTAATGGTCTCTTCTAAAGGTTTTCTTTAACTCAAAGTCTATGGAAGAAAATTCCGCGCCTCCCAAAAGTGGTCGCAAATAGTGGTGGTCTTTCCTGAATGTATCTAAAGTGAAAACTATTCATCACGTCACTTTAATTCACAAACATCTTATCATTTGGCCACTAGTTATTAATGGTGATCTAATTTTTACGTTTTTTTTCTGTGCGCATTTAAATAGTTCACGTTTATTGTTCTAACATTTTCTGTGTTTTGTTACCATTTTTAACGCAACCGTTTGTCAAGAAACATCGTAGTCTAATTACAAATGGTACATTACGAAACGTGATCTATTTTTTTTAAAAGAAAACTTGTAACTTACCCTTGAGCCGGTGTCTGCAGAAAGTTAAAAGTTATTTTGTCTCCACTCATTTGTTTCCTTGTATTCTTAATTGGAAGTTATTGTCCTTTATAGAACGATTCATGACCTTCTTTTTTTCAAGATGCGTTTAAAATCGAATTTGTCTTGACAAAACGTCAAAATATTTTAATAGTTTCTTGTTATGTAATTGTATGTTTCGTTGTTTTTCATTTGAACCTTGAATTATTACTGTTTGAAAAAAATAATAGTGTGGTCATTCTGTTATTACTTTTATTAGAGCTAAGGAGTATTAAATTTTGGAATGTATATTACTTTAATTTTTCTTTTCTTGTTTAATTATTTTTTGTTATGGGTGGATTTTTTTTCTGATTTCTAAAACCTTATTTTATCCCAAGAAAAAGTAAAAATTTCAAAGACTACGTTTTTTATGTAGACTAAAAAAGAAGAAAATAATTTTGTCAAAATTGAATCGAAAAATTAAAGTATGGTGTGCATTACTTTCGAAAGACTTGGGAGGGGATTCGATTAATAGATTTTCACAAGTTGTGAAGGTTTTATAGTTATGAAATTTGACTAACAACTTATTTTAGCAGTCTAATAAAACAAGTAAAATAATAATACATAAAAAATAATAATAATGTAAATTTTCGTATATTGCGAATGTAAATTTACTTTGATTATTTTTTTCTTTCCTTGCTAAATTAGTATTAGTGATAAAATTTTCATTCTTTTGCTACGTTTTTTCAGTATATTAAACTTTTGGACTAAAATGTTTAGTTCTTATTTCATTTGCAATATTTTCCAATAATAAATTATATTATTTATTTCAGGTTTTATGTTACATCATTAAGTTTTTAAACAATAGTGTATTCCGAAAGATGGAATGTTGAAAGTTTTGTTTAAGTTCAATGAAGTATTATTGTCATCTACTACTGCTTACCGCATGCTTAATAATCAAAGTAAGTTTTAAAGTTAGTAAAGGTAAAATATATGTAATAGAGAGATTTTGCACTTTTACGTTAGCTCCTGTACGTAAGATTGGAGCAACTGCGCATGCTTGCTTTTATTTTAAATGCTACGCATCTTTGCTTTTTGTTGGCGCGATTTACGCTACTAGGACAAAGCTATAAGCTTTTTATAGCTGTTAAATGCTGTTTTCTGTTTAAGTCTACCTACGAGCTAAAAACATGGACATGAAATGCGAATTTGAAGAAATGTATTGATGAAATTTAGAAATGCATTGCGTCATCTTACAACCTTTCGTTCATTCAATAAATAAATAATTTTATTGGTGTTTGTTTAACATTATGCTTGTCTAATTGCACTAGTTCCATAAGAAACTAGATGTATTTTCGCTGTTTCAAAATTAAAAATTATATTCATTTTAGCTATACAATTTTGTTACAAGAAGTTAAAATATAAACAGAAGTTAAATAATCACTAGAAGTTAAATATCAATGGAAATTCAATAATACTTTTTTAATATAATAATAAGCTGCTTTCCTTATAGCTGAACTGATCTATAAGCTATCCAATTTTTCGACTCTCAGATCGGCAGTTTTACGTAGAGCAAAGAAGCATCTTGAATGGTATGGCACAGCTTTAAAAGAGATACTCTACATCCATTGTAAATGCTTGTTTCGATTTTGTGATCAAAGTTAAAATGATATTCCACTTCGTTAACGTTTTTAACTTATGGATTTTTGAAAAATCTCTTATTTTAACTAACGTAAGTTTGACTTTTTTTTTTCGCGGGCGCATGCGCAATTACTTGACTATCGTACGGAAGATAACGTAAATGTGCGAAATCACCCTATTATCCTATTTGGATCATTTTAAACGTATCACAAAACCACATTGTAAAAGTGAAAATTAGTTAAGTGTTGTGCAGGCTTTGAATATAGAATATCGAGAGATGGAGGTCAGTTGCCGTTTATTGTGGCACATATCAAAAGCACGCTTGGCATCATGAAACGTGCCGGCTTTCAGACTGTGCAATGACGCCAGAGAGTGTCACTTTGTGCCAACTTTTATAATAGTTAATGTCTTTTTGATGTTGACAAGTTTGTAATGTCTTCAGCAGTTGTTTTCCAGCATAATGCTAAAACCTACATGGGTTTTCATGATTTTTACCAGCTCAACTTAGACCTCACGTTCCCATCCTTTTGATGCATTTTATCACTCCCCCCCCTTGAATTCTCGGTTCAATTTTAGAACTCCTGGTATTTGTTGAAGTAATAAAACGCACCTCCAATTTTAAAAAGAATTGCCTTAACACATAAGAGAATTGTCAAAACACATGATGATCAATGTCTCAAACACTAATATCAAAAAATTTTATTTTTTTTATAGTAAAAAATAAAGTAGTATGGTATTTTTTAAAATTTTTAGCAATGGTTGTTGTATAATATTTGAATTGAAATTTAAGAATTTCGCAACTAACTGCAAAACCATATTATTCAAATACAATTCAAAGAAAAAAATTTAAATTCATTTTCGATTTTCTCATTTATTTTCATTAAAATATTTTTGAATTTCAAGTATGAAAAATTTACATCTGCTTATCCAAGGTAATTTTGAAACAAAAGAAAAACTAAAAATTTTGAAAAAAAAAATGGGTCGAATATTGTTTAGGCAAGCATTTGAAAGAAATTGATTTTATGATTCCTAAGTGTTATTTTTAATTTCCATTTCTCCGAAATTTCTTTCTCTTTTTTGTGCATTGAAAGTGTATAGTAAATATACAAGCGAATCTATTTGGTATTGTATAAATGAAAAATGTTATTTATTTCTGCTAGAATATATAACATGTAATACATATGTTATTCATCAATTTAATTTATTCTTAAAAACCACTCAATAGAAAAATTGCAGTTTATACAAAAAACAATAATAATATGGTTAGTTCAACACTTTTATGATAGGTCGATGTTAAGAAATAAATACCTTTTACCTAAATAAATGGAGTTGAGACAAAGATGACTGATAAAAGAGCATTCAATCAGTAAACCAAACTAATATCGCATAATGTCAGTAAGTAAAATTCATTAAAAAATTTTATAGTATGCTTTTTATACCAGCGCCTAAAATTTGATAGATATTAATTCACGAGTTCGCGAAAAATGATAATTTAAAAGTATGATTTTTTCTATTGCGCTTTTAAAAAATGATGAGGATACATGTTCTTTAAATTGTCATTCACCGGAGCTATTTAATAAGTTTTCTTCGAATTTGAGTGGCATTTATTTCTATAAATGTTACAATTGTACATACGTATAATGTACAGTGCGTATCATTAAAAACGCACCAGCCTGAATAACTTTCGATCTTTTGATCAGATCTTCACGTTCTAGCACTTAATCTTAATTTCCTTTTTTTTGATGGATTCCGATTTCTGACTCTTAAAAACTAGGGGATAGCAATCTATGAAATGTGGTTCCCATAGTTTGGCCAGGAAAGCGCTCCAAAGTTTAGACCCCTAAATGTTAATTTTACTTTTTGCGAAATTTCGCCATATCTCGAGAATTTTTTAAGCGAATTTAAAATATTTGAACAGATTTATACAATTTGTTTATCCAAAAGTAATTCCATGCATACAATAAGTTTTAATAAGCAATTATTATTTTTTATTATTTTATTTAATAATTGTCGAAAAGGTTTTGAGGTGTAAGGTGCATAATTTTTTACATCGATTTAAAGTATCTAATTTCATAAGCCAAAATGCAAAATTTGAGCGAAATCGGTTGATTTCTGAGAAATCGAATCTTAAAAAAAGTCGTATATTTAAAACTCAAGATAAAAATTTCTCAGCTACTATTTTACCGATTTTGCGCAAATTTTGCATGTTGCCGTGTAAAATTAGATAATTTAAAATGACGTAAAAAATTGTATACCTTACATTTTAAAATTTCTTCGACTATTATAAAATATCTACTAAAATTATAATAAAAATAAAAAATACATACTAACATTATAATAAAAATAAAAAATTTTTACTAAAATTATAATAAAAAAAATATTTACTAAAATTCATTTTTTGCATGGAATTATCTATAGATAAGCGAATTTTATAATTGTGTCCAAAAATGTTTCAACTCGCTTATAAGATTCTCGAGATATGGCGAAATACACAAAAAGTAAAAGTAAGATTAAGGGGTCAAAACTTTGAACCGGTCTCTTGCCCTAACTAATACGATCTCATTTCCTAGATTACGGCTACCCCCCTATATTTTGGAAAACGGAAATATGAATCCGACGAAAAAATGTGTGTTTATTCAGAGAAAGTACATTTTTGTGTCTGAGTTCGTAACTTAAAGTATCGTCTGCACTAAAAAATTGGTGTATTTGAAGGCACCCTTTCGAACCATTGAAATTGAGTCTTAGAACGTAAAGATCCAACAATAAGAGCGAAAGTTATTCAGGTTCGTTCGTTTTTTTATTTTGTGCACTGTTTAATGCTGCACGTGGATTAACCATAAACGTTTCATTACATTAAGGCTGGTAATTTTTTTTAGAATCCTTTGTTATTTGATTTGCCGCTGTAATTAAGAGTAACGATTGCTGTCCAAATCACTTGTATTCCAGAGCCTCACCATTTATAGTTATTGCCGTCTTAGTTTCAAAAACTATCTATGTTACTTTAAACGATGTGTTACAAGCGAATCAAATGCATCCTTAAGAATCGAAATAGCTTGAATGTTCCTTATCTTTTTTTTTCTTTCAGTGTTAGACTCATCCTCTGCATTCAATGTAGAAAAATCTGTTACATTTCAAAACTAAAGAGAAACTTCGCAAGAACTGTAATTTTTATTTAACAAAAAACGAATAATTCCAAGATAAGTTACTTTGAAACAGATATGGATAAGAGATATTTTGGTATCGACAGACCCTCTTTTATGTCTTTTTTTGTTTTTTCAGGATCAGCAAGCATGAAGTTAGCGTACGATTTGTATTTTCCCCCCGGAAATAGGGAGCAGAATCTACCCCCAGTCATACTGATGCACGGAATGTTGGATTCCAGGAAATCCTGGAAATACATCGCGCCCTGCATCGCTGAGAGAACTGGAAGAAAAGTAAGACACCCTTTCTTTGTTTCGCTCTCCTTTATTTTGTTTCTTAGTGTTAAACAGACTGTTGGTTCACCTTCCAATGAGGTGAACCGGGTTCGAATCCCAGCGATGGCTGGTTGATGCGAATTCAGCACCTGGCTCGAACCGACTGCACTGCTGACGTTAAATATCATCAGTGGATCATGGATATCATTAGAGTCTCCTTGCAGTTAGGCTAACCGTGGGTGGTTTTCCTCTTCATGTACCGCGAATGCGGGTCAGTTCAATACCTCCCAAGAAAGTAAAGACCTCAGCACGGGCAAAGAATGTGTCGGTTAAATTGAAGTTCTGATGCATAATATATTATAATCGGCGTTAAACAGCTGACCCAATTTTGGATATGGACTAAAAATGTTCAGCTCAGTAGCCTTGTCCTTTTGAACCCAATCCAAAAGAGAAGGCAACTCCTGAGTCAAGTATTGGGAGAAACTTGCCTTAGTGGAGGACCTTTTGAAGGAACTAACCCAAACTTGCGTTACATGGAGAGGAAAATCGCGAAAACCTCCCATGGTTAGCCTGACAGCAAGAGGACTCTAACTCATGATCCGTCTACCACTGAGGATATTTTATGTCAGCCATCGCTGAGATTCGAACCCCGTTCACCTCATTGAAAGGCTCATTGTATCCCTTGAGCCTCCCTAATGTATATTTGTGTTCAGGTGTATGCTATAGACGCTAGAAATCATGGTGAAAGTCCGTGGAATGAGCGAATTACGTTTGACGAAAATGCTGAAGATTTGAGGGAATTTTTCTCTCAACATCAAATTCTAAGAGCTTCCATTGTTGGTCACAGTATGGGTGGAAGGACAGCCATGGCGATTGCTCTCAATCAGGTATATTTTACGGAATCCTTATATACATCCTATTGGAAACTAAAAACGTATCGAAATGAAATATCAAAAATGCATACTATATGTTAATAACAACACAATATTGCAATGACACATATTTGCATTGCTTATAATAGTAACATTTGTCCGATTTATCTGAATGACCAGTGGTCTGAAAAACTACGTTTTCTTTGCATTTAACTACAACTACTTTATTACAATTGTAGTTAACTACGACTACTTTTTTCGAAATGTACGAAATGTAGTCACTACTTTACTATTGTTAAAATACAAACTTAATCGGATAATGTAATTAATTTTTACCAATACTCAAAATGATATCGAATAAAAAACTGGCTTGGTCAAATATGAGGAGATATTAAGAAGTTTTAATTCATGTTTACATATAGTTTTTATTCTAAAGTACTTTTTACGATTTTTTTATTTCTAACTCTATGCTTTTATCGCCAATGATCTAAGAAATGATAGGACATTATCAAATATATGTGATTGAAATGATTAATGCTTTTTATATCCTCCATGAAATAAATTGCATTGCGAAAAACCACCCTGAATAACGTTCGATCTTATTATCGGATCTTCACATTCTTGGACTTCAATCTTAATGGTTTGAGGGGGGGGGACCGCTAATAGGCTAATTAATTAATGCAGACGATATTTCAATTTGCAAAATCAGACACAAAAACATATTTTATAGTTTCTGCGAAATCGAATTTTAAAAAAATCAGATATCGTACGTTGACGGGACCGTGAAGTATATGCACTCATCAGATTCGAAAATAATTTTGCGTTTGAACTTTTTTTTCTTTATTTAACTAATATTAAAGTAGTTGACAGGAATTACTACAAACTATTGTTTTTTTGTTCTCACTACACTACTTCTTTTAAAAAGTAGTGTACTACACTACAAACTAAGTATTTTCCCTACTTGTACCTCCCTACTTCCAACCACTGTGAATGACTGTCATCTGACAGTCATTTCTATTTTTATTGTTTTAGTCATTGATTGCTTAGGATAACTTTCATAGACGATTTTTTTTCTCTCTGTAACGCGTAAACACCTCCAACGCTATTTTGGTTCTTTTAACTCCACTTAATGACTCTTAATCTTGTTGCACAAAAACTGTGAGACAGAAATTTGAAATGACGAAGGTGTATCGAAAAATATACAGGACATACAATGGTATAAACAAATTTAACATTCGTCAAATCTCTAATAAAACAAAAAAAATCAACAATCCATTTTTTACGCGTAGCGAGATCTCAGTGTTGACATCATTTGTTTCAAGGGACCACCCTAGTCGTACTTCAAGCTAATGACTTTCTGCAGGTAGATTGACAAAATATTGGACTTGCCGATTCTCCTGACTTCATTTTGTGCAAAGAATGTGTGCTGACGTGAATGAGAACTTTTTTTACCTTACAACCCCCTGGAGGTGCCTCTTTTTTGTAATAAATTGTACAACTTATTATGCTTGAAAAAGCAAATATAAGGACGTATATAGAAAATAAACATTAGGTAATCAATTCGTGAATAAGAAGAGAGAATTAGTTAACACGCGGGTCACTTCATTTTTATTACATTTTATAAAAAGCTAAAATAAATATTTTATTTTTTTCTTAACCACGTAACGGCTAACTTTTTATCTCAACACAAATGTAAAACTTATTAATATTCACTTTTGCTACCAAGTAGAACATTCAAAACTATTTATAACCTATGATTCTTTATTTCTCTTACCACAAAAATATTTCAGTTGCAGGGATATATTAATTCTCACTGTCTTTTTGACGATTCGCTTTCACCAAATTCTTTTCAAATTTCATATTGATTACGGGGGTCGGCTTTATTTTTATCTATGTTATTTTTCGATAAATCGCCCACCATGGATCTCTTGCCATATTCCTTACTGTCCATACGGAACAATTCACTCACTTTTAATTATTGGCGAACGGACTGGGGGCTTCGGCTTCTCAATCCCAGCCGTTGAATTCATATCTTAGCAGAAATTCTTGATATAAAGAGAATGATACTCTTGAACCCCCTATTTATTTTATAATTTTGGAATGTGCCAAGTATTTGCATAATAAATAAATTTTTAATAAACGATTTACTTTATTTTTCTGGGGATAAAAATCCCTCCTTCATATCCAAATTAAAGTGTATCTGAAACGGTCATAATACTACATCCACAATTGAAAAAGGACTATACAACCACGAAAATAGTATACAAGTGCTTCATTTCTGTAGGACAAACCTCAACTGATCTTTTCTAGATTGATTCATTTTTCGAACTCTAACCATGGTTTGAGTTAAAAATGTTTTCATCCTCTGGATGGGCCGGGATAGTCTGGTTGGCAAGGCGCTGGACTCACGTTTGTGAGAACGGGAGTTCGAATCCAGCCTTCTGAAAACTCCCCATGTAGTCAATGACGACTAGTGCGCGTTAAATCTGTCGGGTCACAAAGTCTCCCATGTTTCCATAACAAATAAATACCTTGGGGGGTACTGAATTGGAGACTGATCGTTCTCTGGTTCAGGTCAAAATTACGATTTTTGGACGAATGAATGTATGTATGAATGGGTCCGCCCTATAAACGGGTGTGACGTATGGGTGTGGCAGAAGCAGAATTCTTAACCATAGATGGCGCCACTGTAAAACCAGAACAATCGCACCCGTTCTGTCCGACGACAACAACATCCTCTGTATGACATTCATCATGTATCGATCGAATGTTTGAAGAACCCTGTGTATGACTCACCTAGTTGTGTATTTTTCAGCCTCAGTTAGTGGAGAAAATAGTTGTGGAAGACATGAACTGTCGTAATTTCAAACCCACTCAGTCAGGAATTATGGTGCAGGTGATAGAAATGCTGAGAGAATCTCTCAATCACATTCCACCAGGATCAGACGAAAGAACAGCCAAAAAGTCAGTAGCCAAGTATATCGTCTCACTGTTTGCACAGGTGAGTACACAAGTTTCATTTCGTGACAAAATCTCAATTATTTACCTTTTTCTCTGCTCACATAGTTGCTAGCTGAATCTGAGTTACCAAAATAACTAAACTTTTAATTATCATAAATTAACTTTTTGTTAGATGCTAGGTAATATTCTCAGATTGACTTCGGGTTCAGAATGGACACCATGATTTAATCACTTCTTTATTTTTTTAAAAAATCGTTCATTTAAATCATTTTTTATACAGAAAGAACTTCTTGATTCCATTCAAAAAAAATTTATTTAGGATATTTTCTTGATATATTCTTAAAATTGAGATTTTTTAATGTCTGATCTCATCATTATTGAAAGTATTATCAAGAAAAATAACAAAAAACGAACCATCCTGAATAACTTTTGATCTAATGATTGGATGTTCATGTTCCTCTATCTTAATGGCTCAAGAGGGTGAACTCAAATGCGCTAATTAATAAGTGCAAATGATATTTTGAGTTACGAAACCAGAAACAAAACGTACTTTCTCTAAATAAACATACCTGTTTTTCAATGGATTTAGATTTCTGACCCCCAAAATCGAGGGGATAGCCTCAATCTTAGAAATAGGGTCCCGATAGTTTGGTCAAGAAAGCGGTTCAAAGCCCCTTAATCTTAGTTTTACTTTTTACGTATTTTGTCATATCTTGAAAACTTTTGAAGAGAAATCAAAAAAAATTTTCACGCACTTATTAAACTCGTTTATCCAAAGATTATTCTATGCCAAACGTAAAATTTTGTATGTATTTATTATATGTTATTATTTTAATCAATAATAGTCGAAAAATGTTTGAATTGTAAGGTATGCAATTTTTTTACATCATTTTAAAGTATGCAGTTTTACATGACAAAATACAACATTTGAGCGAAATCATTTGAATAGTTCGACTTTCGACTATTAATAAATAAAATAATTCAAAATAATATATATTTATTAAAATTTATTTTTTGCATGGAATTATCTTTAGATAAACGAATTTTATAATTGAGTGCAAAAATTTTTCAATCTGCTTAAAAATTTCTCGAGGTATGGCGAAATACGCAAAAAGTAAAATTAACATTTAGGACCGCTCTCCTGACCTAACTACTGGGACCCTATTTCCCAGATTGCGGTATTTGAGGGGGAGGTCATAAATCCGTATCCGTCAAAAATAAGATATGTTCATTCAGAGAAAGTACGTTTTCGTGCCTGATTTCGTAACTTAAAATATCGTCAGCACTTATTAATTATCATATTGAGGTCATCCCCTTAAAAGATTAAGATTGAGTTCTAGAACGTGAAGATCTGGTATACAAATAGAATATAGAATAATGGATTTTTTGTATGATTCCTGATCTAAATTAGTGTAATTTAATTTGATATGCTATTGACAAATATGGTCTTAGTCACTACAAATTCATGTAAGTATCGAACTAGAACAAAAATAACTATGATATTATTTTTATAGTAATTATTTTATAACAATTACGCAGAATTTTAAACCATGTTTGTTAGAAAAATCATTTTAAAATTTGAAATTCTTGAAAAAAAATAATTGAAAATGCGCTAGATATGAGCATTTAAAGTAGCCTGGTCGGAAAACTTTGAAACACTATTTCACTGTGGAAAATAGTCTGATTTGAATATCGATGAAATTCAATTTTCTAAGTAGTTTTCGTAAATTTTGAAGGAAAGCAGTGAAGGGTGAGAAGTTTTCCACAAATTTCCTTTTGTATCTAAAAGGAGGTTTTGTAATAAGTGGTAATATCGTAACATAATTGTCCGCGGGCTACGAAATGTAATGTCATATAGAAAAGAAACGTGAAATAAAACGTACTTTAACAGGTCTCCCGTAAAACGGTATCCTTTAAAAAAAAATCTTGTTTAATAGTACAAAATGAAATTTGCGAAAATCTCCCAAACATTCAGAGATTTCTTACAAAATTTACAAAAACTATTAAGAAAATAGTTAAAAACTGTATTTTAATTTTAAAGAAATTTATATCAGATAATAGAAATATTTTTCCTCGTATGACAGAAAAGACTATTTTATATGTTATATCTTGTGTAATATTATTGTTATTAATCAAAAATTTCTCTAAAAATTTCGTTTAATTCTATTGACTATTTTTACAGTTTAAGGTAAATTAAAAAATGCTTTTTGTTTTAAAAATGTCCCCATGAATGTAAAAACCAAATAAATTTTGTTCTGATGTATTGAATCGTTTCGATTTATTATTATATTTAGTATTCTAGATTTATTATTTTATTTTATATTTTCAATTCTTTTTTCTTTTGAATCCTTTATGTGTTATGCTTTTATTATGTCGAATGGTTTAAGATTTATTTTAGTGGTCTACCTTTGATGTTCTATTAAATGTGATGAATGGTTCGATTTATTAATCTATTAAATATTTTAGGTTTGTTATTCTGTTAAATGCCTATTTTATTGCATGTTTATTTACATGATGTTGTTTTAAGTGTATTATGTTTATTATTTAGTTGAGTGATGTACTGAATGTTTTGTTTTATTCAATAGAATGTTCAAGGGAATTTTTTTCGTTTCTATGAAATAGTCATCTTAATGCTTCATGTTTTCTTCCAAGGAATAGTCTACTTATTGTTTTTTATTTTATTCCATGGAATAGCTATTTAATGTTAGATGCTTATTATTCCACGAATTGTCTGAGGTGTATTAATGCATTAAATAGCTTAGCACTAGTAGGATAGTTAGTTTCAACTGGAGGATTTATTTTATTTAATATTTTAATTTCATTGTTATATTGAATTGTTAAAGTTTATCATTTCAATCTATTTTTGATAGGCTTATTATTCTATTAAATGGTTTAAGCATATTATTTAACTGGATGGTTCAGATTTTTTATGTTACTTACTTTTTTGCTTCCTTTTATTATTAACTGGTCTAGGTTTTTTTTTCTACTATACGTTTTGGTTTGATTATTCGATTGAATGGCTTTGGTTTATCGTCCTATAGCAGGGATGGCGAACTTGTGGCACGCGTGCCATTTATGGCACGCGACACAATATTTTGAGCACGCCACCGATCACAAAGTTCACTATGAAGCATATTAAAAATTAGATTAAATTTCACAAAGAACAAAAAAAAATAGGCAATTATTGACAAAGAATGTAACAATTAAAGTCATAAAACAATTAATAACCATAAAAAAACAAGCTAACAATAAATGACTAGCAAAAAAAAATGATTAACAGTCTTGCTTAAACTAACATCTTACAACCTAATATAAGTTATTTGTTATCTTATCTGCAACAACAGAAGTCACACTGATGTTACTTAAGTTGAACTACGCGTATAACTGAGACATTGCAAAATGTTTTTTTTTTATAGTAAATAAATAGTTTTGAGATGATACTATTTTGTATCATTATTTTCCCAAAAATCACGAAGTCAAAATTATTTGACGGCACGTCCATTATCTCATTTAACGTTTTTTTTTAGAAAAAATGGCACGTTGGTGCTTAAAGGTTCGCCACCTCTGTCCTATAGAATGATTCGGGCTTATAATTCAATTTGATGTTTTATTACTATATCAAACGGTTTATGTTTATTATTTTATTGTTCAGACTACAGGAAACGAAGTGAAGAGGAAGAAAGACTCCCGATATGATCTGAGTATGATTCCTCTAAAGCGTGATGGTTCGAGTTATTCTTGGGAAGCGAACCTGGATGCCTTGGAGAAGATGCTCACCACAGACAGAATTACACAGAATTTGAGTGGAGTGTTCAGGGGGGATGCCTTATTTCTCTATGGAACGAAATCTTTTTTCAAAGTGTAAGAAACTTTCTCTTTGTGAATCATGTCATCAAAGAACCATAGATAAATATTTCAGATCATCACACAATCATTATTACTAAGGATTTTATTTCAGCATTTAGACGTTTTATTTTTCAATTACCATTTCTTACCGTTTACAATTTGATAAAAAGCCCCTGTTCGCGTAAACATATTTATTTCTGAGGCTATTAAATTCGGATGTTGCAACTTTAACGATTTATCCGTAATTAATTCATATGCAAAACTAAGGCCTTACGATTGAGGTTTAAAAATTACGGTTTTTTAGAATTTCCATAATATGTTTACAATAAGTTTTACGCTGCCAGAAGTAATGAAATTACGTTGTTTTCAACTAATCAACCGTTGTTTTCAACTCATTAAACAGTTCTAAAACAAATAAATAAAAAATAACTTAATAGAAACGGTACACAAAAACAGTTTAATGGAATAAAAAGTAAACAAATATCTTCTCTCCCCATTTCCAACCAGCTATCTGAAACCTGCGTAAAATTAGATAAACTCAAATCTCAAATGATTAGAGCAAACATTTTTAGTGTTTCAAATGAAATGCACTGAAAAATTAAAAAGAGCTTTACTCTGCTGCAAGATAAAAAAAAAATTTTAAAAACGCTATCCCTATGGAGAGAGCCTTTTTGCACGTAAGTGCACGCCAAATGGTTGCCAAGCTCCCAACCACGAACGTATATCAACATCACCAACTTTTTTTGCTTGCTTTCTTATTAATAAAAATTATCAATTAGCAAATAATAAGAATTATTAAAAATGATTCCTAAAAATCGTAGCAAATGTGGGTCCTTCTGTTCGCATTTAAAGAAACTGATGAAAGAATTAAAAATACTGTTTCTTGCAGGCCATTTTCTTCTACAGTAAAACGGAAGTAAAAATTCTTTATCTCTCATTTGATTCGTTAAGAGCATGTCAGCATGCGTAAAACCTGCTATTTTTAGTGGTCCAATAAAATCCAATGCTTCTGTAACGTCAGATAGTTGTTTCTTTTTCAAGAACGAATGTTCTCCTTATTTATCGATATATGTCTCCAGGTCTAGGATTCTAGTAAGACTGCAAAACTATAACTTTTTCTTAACAATTCTATGATCTTAAAAGATAGCATGAATCAAACTTCTGTGTTTAATTTGTAAAAGCTTTTATATTGCTTAGAAAACATATTTGTATAATTTGATAGCTAAATAAACTATATGAAGTCGCGGACGATTACTTAAATCCTATGAAGCGATGATCTTTTCTCAACTTGCATGTTATAATGAAGTGTAAAATAATTTAGTACTTTTCCCTTAGTGTTACATTTTTTTTTATTTAATAGTAAAGTTGTGCAAAATTTTATAAATATCAAATACTTATCTAGAACAATGTAGTATAAACACCTTAAAATTGCGTTAATTGGAAATTCGTAAACGCTAATAGCATATTTTTCTGTATTTCCGAGTCCTTGTACATTTTTGTCATTTTAAAGTTTGAGCATTTTTTTCCGACGTAATCGTTATTTCCGTCGATGCATTTTAATTTATATGTTTTCAATCAGGCATATACTTTTGCAGTCACCTTATAACTCCTTAGTATCTAATAAATTATTAATTAATAAATGTTTTATTTTCATGAGTAGTTTTTTTTATTTAGTTATAAATGTGTTCATTCTATTTTGCAGTGAAAAAGATGAGAAGATCCCGAAACTCTTCCCACGTGTCACTCTCGTTGGAATCGAACGAGCGACCCATCTTCTGCACTTTGAGTTTCCTGACAGATTCATAGACGAAGTTTCTTTTTTCCTCAATAATGGTCTCGAACTTAAAGCCAAATATTAATAAGAACTCTCTCTCTTGCGTGTTATTTATTAAAAGAAAATGTACAAATAATTGTATGAATGGTTATTTGATTGTAAACTACATGTTTTTTCTTTATAAATGTAAATGAATGTGTTTTTGTAAATGAAATGAAAATGTTTTAGTTTTGAATTTAGTTCTTACAAATAACTAGTCTCATTGTGTATAATTAAAAAATAGAAACGTACCTCTAATGATTATTTCATGCAAAGAAATAATTTTTAACAAATAAATTGTTTTATGTTTTGATTAATGGTGGTTCAAAACATTTTCGATTGTAAATGACACATATTTTTGCATTATTTTTAAGTGTATATTTTTGATTGACAAAACTTAAAATTTGAATGATATCAATTAAATAATTTCTGAGGTGTGGAATTTCAAAAAAGGTCGTATTTTAAGATTTTTATCTCTAATGGACTAATTTGCCGATTTTGTTCAATTTTATTTTATCATTTAAAACCACATAGTTGTTCTCATGTAAAAACATGCATAACTTACAACTTACAATCAGAATTTTTGTTAAATTATTAAATAATAGCAATAAAAAAATAAATAATTTTAAAAAATATATTTTTTGCATGAAATTATTTTTGGATAAGCGAATTCTATAAATTTTTTTGGAAAAAGTTTTTCATGCATTTAAAAAAATTTCAGTTATGTCGAAATGAACACTATGAGACACTCTATCGCTCTAATGACCAAACCATGAGAACTTTTTCAGATAGCGGAGATTTTTGTTCCAGATTCTGACCACCCATATTTTGAGTGCTAAAAATCCAAATACGTCGAGAAAAATAAAGTATGTTTCTTTAAGTTAGTTCGTTGTGTCTAGTTTCGTAACTTAATTAATAATTAATTTAGATTAACCCTTTAAGTATTTTGTTTGGTTTTTTGTACGAATATCCATTCATTCGAAGTTAATTAGAGGTTATTATTTTATCAATTAGGAAGACAAACGATGCCATGGGAATTTCTTTTTATTGCGAAATTATTATTAATATTATTTTGAGTTTACATCGTTATAATTCAATTTCCGAATATCGATTTGAAAATTTTAGAAGAAGTAGCATATCGGTTTTTCAATTTTTTTAAACTTAATAATTTTTTTTAATTCATTTCGTTCTTTTTTAAAAAAAATTTTAAAATTTGATACAAGTGGAATTGAATTCTATTGTAACAGAAATGAATTGAGAGTTAAAATGAGTCATTTAATGCAAAAACAATAGGTATCTGCTGAATTCTATCAATGCTAAAGTATAAAAAGAAATTTATTAAAATGCAGACAAAGACTGCATTTGAGGTTACCCAAACGTCAAATATTTTCAAAAAAAAGAAAGAAAATGAAAATTGAAACAAATTCTAAAATTTTTTTTCTTTTTTCGATTTTTGATCAATTTATATAAATAAATAGACATAGAATTTCTTTTTGCCTCACTATGGTTTAAATTTTTATTAAAGATTTTTTATTTTTCTGATAAACTCTTTTTTTATCTTTTAACTTAATTTTTACTTTGTTAATTTATTTATATTTTGCCTTATTAATTTTGTTTTTATATAAGTTTTTATATTAATTTATCGTAAGCTTTTTTTTTTAATTTACGTTACTTTTTACTTTATTTTCTTATTTGTCTTAATATTTATCTTTATAATTTTAATTTTTAAATTTGAAAGAAAAATTTTTGAATTTGAAGAAAAACCTGATTTAACATTTTTTTTCCAAAAGATTTGCACTATCAAATACAAAAAAAAATATATTAATATAAAAAAAATAAAAACGGAGCTTTTCAATTCAAAATAAAATAACTAATTCAGGAATAAGAAATTATGATTCTCTGATACCATAGTTCATTTACTGATTTTCAGCAAATGCATGCACCCAGAACAATATCATAATATTTCATTTTTCGTATTTTTTCTTATAACCGTCGTTGAACAGCCGACCTAATTTTGAGTGTACGACTGACTAATGTCCGTAGCCTTGCAATTTTGAATACAATCCAGAAGACAAAACTTATGGATCACGTGAGGAGAGATATTTGAAGGACTTTTTGATAGAACTAACCTGCAATTTGCGTTACATGAAGAGAAAAACCATGAAAAACTCTCATGTTTAGCCCGACGGCAAGAGGGCGCTAAACCAATACCTCCTAGAAAAGAGTAGGCCTCTGCACGGGTTACCATAAATATCCTTTAGTAGTCNATCCTGCGTTTGTGTTACATGAAGAGAAAAACCATGAAAAACTCTCATGTTTAGCCCGACGGCAAGAGGGCGCTAAACCCTGAGAAGTCTAATATTGAGGATATTTTACGTCAGCACTGTGGTTAGTGCGTGAAAGGTGCGGACTCCGCATCGACCAGCTATCGCTGATATTCGAACCCGTTCACCTCATTGGAAAACGAGCGCTCTATTCCTTGAGCCACCACGACACATTATGTATTTTTAAAATAATTACTCATCTTTTTTTTTGGTTCGTAATATTTTGCGCTGCTCATGAATAATTCTGCCAAACGAAGTTTTTGGAGAAAATGTTTAGTCGACGAGAACCCTACTGAGTCAGATTCATTTTTAACGATTGACATGTATACTCATCATGTAGAATAATGTTAACTACAAAAAAAAAATCGAAATTTCAATAGAAAATAATAAAAGATTGCTGTTATTTGGTTGTGGTTTCTTTTATAATACCGAACCTATTACATACACAAGCTTCAACCTGATCGGCAAGCAGAGATTAGCGAAGAAATAAATAATCGGCAGATACCGACTCTTTTTCTGTACAAAACAGTCTTTGATATTCTCGAATTAAATACGAGAAACCGAATCAATCAATCCAAAAGCTTCCTAGCTTTCGTCTTGTAATATTCTTATATTATATCCTTTGTATTTTATTGTTTTTCAACTATTCTTTTTAACAATTTACTACTAACAGTAGCTTTTTTCAGAAATGAATTGTTAAATTTTTATTAAATAAAAATGTCGTTTGTTTTTCGTGAAATTTATAATAGGCTCAATTGTCCTGCGGTCAACGTATATACGAGCCTTTTTTTCAAATTTTAATTCCGCATCCTGTGGGAGGTTAAAATTCACTGCTTAACAGGTTAAGGAAAGTAGTTTATAAACAATTCAAATTTCAAAACTAATATTTGTCTCAGGCGTATTGCATACTGACTAAGATAAATAGATATATTTAAAACTTTACTATGGGGACAAATTCTCGAAATATTATTAGCACAATTACGATATAATTACACATTATAAAAAATATTTAGAGAAGAAGACAAATAAACGGTGAAGGACGTCTATTAACATCCATACAAATCACGTGGTTATAAAACGATGTCTTTCCAAATTTTTGGCAGTCTTTATTTCCATTGAACGTACTTTACAAAAAAAATGAATTACGAAACAATGAATCGTGTACTTTAACGAGTTAAGGAAGGATGGAATTTTGTTTCCTTGAAATACTGCAATGACAAATGTCATTTTACATTCAGAGTTTTATTTTTCAAATAACATTTGCTTAAAATTCAAAAACTATATTTTTCTGGAATATGCTTAAAAACTGTAAACGCTTAAAAGACGTTTGCCTCTTATGATAATGGTCACTGTAGATAAAAAAAATTTGTTAAAGTTGTTAATCATTTGAAGTTCTTCAATTTATATTCAGGCGTATAATATGTCAATGCTATGATCAAGCTTAAACAGTTAAATAAACTATAAGGTAAGCTGCTTCAATAACTTCATTAAAATTTGAAATCAATTTCAATTGTTTTAAATTTAATTTATGTAAATTTTATTAAATAATTCTATTTAAAATTTAACAAAAATTATATGTTTTTTACACAGTTTGGTATTTGTCAATTTAGTTGTATTCAGAGTTGTATAACAAGAAAAAAGTTTTTGTAATGATTTTTTTTAATTATAAATTTCCAAATTCTTCAATGTTCTTTTATTACGAGGGTTCTTTTATTACAAAAAATAAACACTCCTTCTAGGTTGCCAGATGCTGAATTAAGTTAGGTAAAAATATAAAAGCAAATTTCTTTAATATCCCGGCTTTTAAAGATTTTTCTATCCTAAAATGAATTTATTTTGAATTAATATTAGCTATTGATCTTACACAAAATCAGATATAAATGGTCAGTCCTATCATTCTCGTTGGAATATAAATTAAAATTATATGATCTAGTTTTCCCATATGAGAATCAAATTTCTTTGGTTGTCATCGGCATAGAATTATAAAATTTTAAAAATACTGCTTATTTTTAAAATATTTTTTAGTCTTAATTTCAAAAAATATTCCGCGATATAATTCCATGACAGCTATAAGTGCATCTTTATAGTGCAAAGAGCTTAAAAACTGACCGGCAAACTACTTAAAGGTATTTACCTGGAAATTTTATTTATCCTTTTTTCTTTTTTATTACTATTAAAATTAAAGTATTAAAACTGTAAGTAATGCTTTTTTATTAAATAGGGTGCGTAGCCAAATTATTCAACAAAAAAAGCACCCTTTAAGCACTTTTCAAGCACTCAAATAATATTTTAAAGCACTTAATAATATCATAATTAGGTATGGTTGGAAAGTTTTTGATAATTGACGCTTTTATCTGGTTTTAATCGCCATGTCAAAAAAAAAGAAAAAAACTTTTGGCATTGTTTTGGACAATTGTCAAAATTTTTGAATCATGTAAATCGAATGGCGTTTTCATACGCTACAGTCTGACGATACACCGAAATAGATTGGGGTTGAATTAATTGTGAAAACGTTGAATTGAACAATGTGAACGGTGTCTTTCTACATAATTCGTAGCGAAAATCAACATGGTAAAGGAAATATATCATTTTAGGAAAGGGAAAATTAAGCACTTTTTAAAAACACCAAAAGAAAACAGCACCTTTAAGGGCTTTTAAAAAACGAAAATCGAAAATAAGCACCTTTAAGCACGTTTTAAAAACGCTACGCACCCTGTTAAAAAATAATCCTATGAAAATACTGTATTACAGAGTTATATATTAATACTACATTAAGAGTTACTACATTAAAGACATTATTAAGATTATTGTAAAACAGTATTTGGAATTTGCTCACTTTAATTGAATAATCATAAAAGTAAAATACACTTTACAAGTTTATTTTTTTAGTAGAACCAAAAATTAAATATGAATTTAAAAATCAAAACTGTATATAAAGTTGCAATGGTAAACGATCAAATTGATTAGGCCTGAATTTTGCCCAATAGAATCAGGAGCTTAAATTTGTGATACTACTGTGAGCTTAAATATGTGACATCTTAGTTGTTTTATCTTCTTAACTTCAAGACGATTCCCACGTTTCTCGATTATCGCGTGTGTTCAGAATAACATTTTTTTTTTCTCTTTTCTGTTCGGAATATCATTTTTTCATACCTTCTCCCGCTCACACTATCGAAATACTCGCTTTTAAAAATAACCACTTTAGATGCTTTAAACAGATATGCGTAGATAATTATTTATATTTTTAAAAGTAAAAAAATTAATGTTGGAGAAGTTTATTTTGTCTTTTTGAAAGCAAAAATGAAACTAGCATTCGATGTCTACAAACCAAATATCAAAGAAGAAACCTTTTTGAATCCGATTGTTCTTCTGCATTCTATAATGGAAACGAAAAGCACTTGGAAGCCAATAGCTCAACCACTTGCTCAACGCACTGGAAGACAAGTGAGTACTCTGCTGGACAAGTTTTGTTATTACTACTTTTTCGAAAAGTCTTAGTTTAAAAAGTTACTTTAGTTAAGAAAACCACTATGTTAATTCATGAATTCTGTTACTTAAGTTGGAAAAGCATTATATTAATACATGAACTCAATCATTTTAACTAGAAAAGCACTAGTTAATCTGAAAAAAATAGATCTAAAACAAAATGAAGTAAACTAAACAAAATAATAGATCTGAAAACAACTACCGTAAAATTCTACATAAAATATTATTTTCGTCAAGGTTTATGCTTACGATGCCCGGAATCATGGAGATAGCCCGTGGATTGGAGAATACACTATGGATGCTTTGGTTGATGATTTGGATAAATTCTTACGGGAACATTCCTTTTTAAAAGTCATACTGATAGGACACAGTGTGGGCGGAAAAGTCGCCATCAGTTTTACTCTCAGAAATGTAAGTCACATCTTTACCATTTATGCAATGTAAAAACCTCTTAAGAGTCATTCAATATTAATTCTTTATTCAAATTATCTTTCTTAATTCATTATTCTGAACGAAAAGCTTCTTTTATTATTATTGATTTAAATCTAATTAAAAATACATTCAAAAACGCAAACGCTTAGATATTTTATCTATACATAAAATAAAATAAGGAATGTGTGTCTAGATATCGAGCAAACGGTAGACTCTAAGAATACAAAATTCAACATGAATCAGAATGAGTGCAATTTCGAACTTTTAACGAAGCCCGATTTTTGATTTTTAATCAGATTTTTAAAATCGGAGACATTTAAGAAATGACATTTTCTCATTAGCTTCGAGGCAGCCATTGTTTTAAAATAAGCAATAAACTATTCAGTTTTCTCAAATATTTTAAGGATAACACTTGTGTTGCTTGTTAGCTTACAGCTCAAATTAAAAAATTGTTTATTACGCGTTCTGCAATATTTAATTATTTTTTATTCGCTATGGGAGGTCATCCAAAAGATCAACGCTATCGACATTTTATGTTTCATGACTCTACTTTGTAGAGTAATCTTATATATTTTTTCCATTTTTAGAACATATTTAGTTCTGAACTTGTTATCTGGAAAACTCGCTACCTCAAAATTTATTTCAGCGTTCTTTCAACTTTGAGAAATCGAGTTAATTAACACAGTTCTTGATTAAAATTTTAAAAATACTTACAATGGGCAGGTATTTACGGAGCACTTTGTATGAAGCTTGTTCTTTTTCTTCATCCTCCGTTTGTTGGTTGAATGACGTCAGAAATTTACATCGTCCGATATTACTATTACAAATGTATTTGTTTAGACTTAATTAAAAATCAAGAGGACGCTATACTGATTGCAAATTATTTTTCACCTACATTAACTTAAAATTTAATTTTATACAAAAGTGAGGCCAGGTAAAATCTATAGAAAACCATGAAGTTTCAAATGCTGCAGTTATCCAAGAAATAATTTGGTTTGTCGACGTAATTGGATGATTACGTAAAATTCTGCAGTAGAAATTGATTGATGTATTTCCAAATGTCCATATTTTATCCCGGAGTGATGTAGGCAAGCAATTATTTAACAAAAATCATTGATTGCTTAATAAAGAATAAAATTGATAAAAATAAAAATGTTTTATTTTTTTAAATTTATGTGGAGCTTAAAGGTAAAAATTAATCTCAATTTTTAATATAAATATAAACTGTCAAATTATAAATTGGGAAAATGGCCCGGATAGTGTGGCTGCAGGGCGAAGCCCCACAGAACAACTCCATCCATCAGGAAATAAAATATACAAGTGTCATGCCGTACGTTAGCATAGTTTTCGCCAAGGAAAGTGAATGTTTTGGCTATTAATTAATTAAATTTAATGCTCTGGTTCTTTTTCTTAGACTTGCGCATTCAAGTGTTGACGGAAAAGAAATCGTGATAAATAATGACGAATTTTTAATGAAATCAAAACATCCGCAACCCTATAACGGTTTTCGAATTCTATGCTAATGTTGTAGGAAGAGGTTGTGATATAAAAAGTTTACAGGTTATATTAATGATTTTTATTTATTGAAAAAGGATTAAATGAGATAATAACTTGGTCTTTAAATGTTAGGAAATATGTTATGCATATTGCAGCATGACAGCAGGTTTTTTTCTTCCTTTTTTTCAAAATATCAAAATGCAAATGAATAAGGCAGGATAAATTCCCCACATCGTAATTCTAAACTATTCTTTCATATATATATGTCTGTGTATATATATAAACACAAGTAATAAAATAATATAAAAAGGAAAACTAATAATGGGAAAAAAACAAAAGTCTTCCTCAAGACACATCTTTTGTTATAATTTAATGTGATATTTCTGAATAAAGAATTATCCTTAGACAAAAATTATTCTTTATATGTGTCGATATCGCTTTAAAAATTCAGTTGCAAATGAGCATGAAATAAAAGAAAGCGGAAACCTAACTTACCGGCGTGTAGCAAAATGTGGTTTAGGCTTAAAGGAAAAATACTAAAATGACAGTTAACAAATTTCGCGAAGAAGCAAAATCTTTAAAGTTGTGCTTATAGCTTGAATCGAATAAAATAAAATTAAAGAAATATATTTGGTCCGAAAAAAATGAAGCAAGTGACATATCAGTGCTGTAAAAACTAGTAAAAAAATTTTTGTTCTGAAAAATAAGTTCATAAAACCATTAATAAGAAGAAATGTTATTAATGAAAATTAACAATAATAAAAAAAACATTAAAAATAGGTAAACGTTGTAATTTAAATAACAGACTAAAATAAGGAATAAATCATTTATTGGCATCTCATTATTTACGCAAACTTTCCGTTTTATGGATAACCATTTTTTGTTATAATTAGACGTTTCAACTAACGTAAATCTTAACGTATTGTTGACGCAAATATTATGCAAAAATAACGTTACTCATTTTTACTTAGTAAAAACTGGCTGATAAAATATTCGGGAAAGAACCGAATATGTTTACGTAAAATTTTACATAAATTCTCCATTTTTTGATAGCCATTTTTTGCTATAATTCTACGTTTTAATCCTATGTAAATTTTACGAATACTTAGTAAAACTTAAAGTTGAAATATAAATATTTTTGGCATGAATTTGACGGATCTCTGCTACCTGACGTTCAGCCAAGTGACGTGTGTAATAATAAGTGGAGATTCTATTTCCATTTCAGCCTGAAAGAGTGGAGAAGTTGATCGTAGAAGATGTACCCGTTCGTAATTTCAGACATCGACTGCATAATCTTGTACCGACAGCTCTCAAGATGGTGAAACTGCTAATTGAAGACTTCAAGGAAATCAACGACAGAGCACTGGCAGAGAGACACATGAGGGAACTGGCAAAGCGATTTTCTCACTTAGTAAATTATAATTTCATTTTCAAGAAAAAGTTATAATCTCATGAAACAGAGAATTTCAAATTCAATGATGCTACTTTAAACATACGATTTTTGTTTTTAAAGTAAATGCCGTTTTGTTGCGTACACTAAAAGGTGGCACATGAGTGGCAAAGAATGTTTGTGTCATATCCCCTCAATTCCTTGGGAACAACTGTGCTTAGTTACAGCCCACTAAGCAACTTCTACGGTCAGTTCTGCGTCTTTAAAATGTTCAAGTTTCACAAATCACCCTCCGCGTATGAGTTACTGTCAGTGAAGCGTTTTTTAGTCGGCAAAAAACCTGTCTGCTGCATACATTCATCAGCAGATTTGTGAGGTTTACGAAGCTTCCTACTGACTTGCTGACAGGAAATTTTGCCCCTCCATGACAATGACTCTCTTCACAGCTCAGTCCAGAGCTTTTAATGGACTCTTTTAGCTGTGAAGTTTTGGACCACGCTTTAATACAGACCAGACCTTGCACTAGGTGATTTTCGCCTTTTCCGATGCTTCAGACATCATTTTGGCGGCAACCAGTACAAAGATGACGAAGACTTGAAGACTGTCGTGACCTTTTGGTTATCGGAACAGGTGGCAAGTTACTACGATGAGAGTATTCTAAATCTAGATGTAAGATATGATAAGGGTTTAAGTAAACTTGGCAACTGTTTTGAAAAAAGAAAAACGTATTATGTAGAATCAAAAAATATCTTTTTTTCGTGCAAATTTTCTTTCATGATGTTCTCATTTTCAAACTACCCTTACTTAAGAAAACAGCCATCGTATTTAATTACAATAAAAAAATTTATTGAATAAATATATAAACACAGTAACTGCTCTCCCGATTGTCTCATTTGATTTCTCATAATGATTTGAAATAATAGCGGCTGACTGCCTTTAAGGCTTGAGTGGTTATTGTATTGTTAACATTATGCACATTTTTTCAAACCCCAGTAATAGTTGCGGCTAATTTTTGAAGGCACTTCTGGGTAAAATCCTAGAAAAGCATACCTCTTGGCGACTTTTTGAAATCTCGCCAATTGGGGGGTTATAACTGGGATCAACGTTGCTTTTCGATTATTATTAAAAAAAAAAATTTAAATTATTACTAATTTATTAAAATATTTTTTAATAGGAGAAATGAAATAACAGTTAAAAAATGAAATAATAACGATGATTCTAACAGCTAGAGATCAGAAGCATAAATGGCGAAAAAATAAACCTCTTTACCTCTTTTTTCACGAAATCCAACATTCGCGTAGGTATACATATCAAATAATCAATCAGGTTTAAGAATTTTGGTGGTGCGATCGGACGTTCAAAATAATCTCCCCGAAATATCTTTTTGGAACCAAGTTTAGCTAGATTTCAGAAACTTACATGGCGAGACCGCCACGAGATGGGCTAATCTAGAATCCACCCGCACGTCTGTCATAAGAAAATAACTTCTTATTTTAATAACTTATTTTTTCAAATTTACTGTTTTACTTCATTTTTATAGACTTATTTTCATTTCTGAAAGGTGAAATGTTCCGATCATTTCTTGATTGAGTATTACGCTAGAAATATGATATTTCTCCCCGACGACAGAACTTTCTGGAGAAACATCAACTGTACTCACTTATTCATAATTACACTCTCTGCAATCGATGAAAATTTAACCTGGTTATTTGTTCATAAATTAATTTCTTAATTTATGAACTAAACTAACTCAGTGGTGCGACAGCCCATTAAGAGGGCCAAGGCCGACTGTGCCCATCTCAGTTTTCTTGACCTTAGGCTCTGGGGTGCAGGAGCATATGTTCCGGTCAGGTGGTCAGCCGAACGCGGAACCCCCAGTGTTAGTTCCCAAGCATGCTTGGTACTCATTTTATCGACCCACTGAAGGGATGAAAGGCTGAGTCGGCCTTGCCCGGCCCAAGGATCGAACCAAGGACCTGTGGCACGACAGCGCGAAGCGCAACCGCTCAGCCACCGGGCGTCTAATTTATGAACACTTACTTTAAAAAATATTCTCTTCGTTAGACGTTTATATGAGCCGTTCACTGCACAAATTGATTAACTCCTCCTGTTCTTAAAATATCACAAGTTTAAGTGTCAAAGCTCTTGAGTTTATTGTATATTTAGAATAAATTTTTCCAGATAATAAAAAAGCCACATCTCTAAGTGACGAAAATTTTATAAATAATTCGTATTATCAAACGAATTTTAAGAAATGATCTACATTTTTTCATCACATTTGATATAAAGATTCTGTAATTGAGACATTGACGTGTAATTCTTTTTTTTTTTCCAATGCTTTACATCATTTCAAATTTGACTACAAATGTAAAGATATTTTTTTTAATTTCTTTATTTTCTCAATTGTTATGTTATAAGTACATAGTTATAAGTATCGTACAAGTTATAAGTATCGTATAAGTTATGTTATAAGTATCGTATAAGTTATGTTATAAGTATCGTACATAGAAAAAAAAATTATTTGAAATCAACAATTACTTTATATTTTTAACTTAATATCATCTTTTCATTACTTAATATTATCATTTCCTTACTTAATATTATCATTTCATTACTTAATATTTATTAATTAATATCATTATTTCATTACATAACATTCATTACTTATTATTATCCCCTCCACATCTCTAAAATTTAATAAGAAAATCTTTATTCTGAATAATTGAATTATTTTATTTGATATCCTTTTTAAAATACAGCGTCCAATATATTGGGCAACAATTCGTACAATTTTATCAATAAAAAGAGAATATTTTAAGCATTTTCATTATAATTGTGTGTTTCATAAGGAGGTTGTTTATGTAAAAATGTGATTCGACGGAATGTTTGAATACAGTAAAAAATTATAGGACACTTAAGACATTCGATTTTAGTTACCTTTTGAACAGTTTTATGGCATATATTTGACTCTATAGTGAAATTTGTTTTATGACCAACAAGCGACAATTCAACACTGGGTGAAAAATGTAAAATAAAATTTATCACTTTTCTGCTATAAATAGAAATAGACGAAAGTAAGTTTAATCATTGGAATATTTTTAAAGAAATATTTCATTTCATTTATGAGTTTTCTTTATGCTAGATATTTCTAAGCCAAAGTAACAATTTTTGCAAAAAGTCGAGACGCATTGGGTATGAATAACTATTTTGTTTCAGCTGGTTGTCACTCCAGAGAGAATTGATTCATACAATATTGATTGTATACCTGCCAAATGGAATGGAAACAACTATCAATTGGACGTTAATATCGATGTTGTAGTTGATTCTCTGCGCCTTAATAAACTGCAAAGTGATTTAACAGGAAGATACACTGGATATGCCTTGTTTATCATCGGAGGGGCATCACAGTTCAAAGCGTAGGTATACAGAGTGTTCTGTAATGATCGCTCTTAATATAAATTTTTATTAACCATGTTAAATATTATATCAAAATGCTAATAGTTTACTCATCAGAACCACGTAGTGGTTGAGACACTGAACTATTATTGTCAGGCATTGTGTGGTGGCATATTATATCTTTAAGGAATATAAGAAGAGAGTGATATGATAACACATAGCCGAAGACTTGCGCTTAGTAACGCATCAAAATTGAGAACGCATGCGTGTGAAAAGGTAATCATTTTTAATAATGCTGCCTATTAAAATGTTACGATTAAATTTACTAGCTAAAGCTTGTTGCGATTTTTATTTTGCTTTGAGTATGTCTTTTGATAGTGTTGCAGATTTCCATTGTTGTCAATACATTTTTATTGACCGGAAAATCCATTCAGTTTACCTACATTGATTTTCGTCTCGGTTTGGTTGTCATCAGCCTAAAATTGATATAAGTCATAAAGTTTTCGTTTCCCTATAAATATTTTCGTTTCAATAATTTAAAGGTTAAGATTACCCGTACTTTTATTATTACTTTTTTGATTTTGTTTGATTTCTTAATTAAGAGTTTAAGAGGATTGCTTTTATTATCATTATTATAAGAATAATGTAATTCTGCGTTACATTTGAAGAAAAAGTTATTTAAATCGGTGCCTCATCTTATTAACCGTTTTGCAATTATTATTGCTTGGTGCAAATGACATTAATTATACTTTTATGAATGACAGTTAAAGAGATTCGTTAAATGATTTAGAACTTAACTTTCGACTTCTTACACAAAGGGGTGAATGCAAAAATTAATACGTTTAAAATACATACATCCATTTTGTAAGCCAAAATATTAAATGACAGTCGCGAACTCACCCAATTTGTTACAACAAATATACTTTTAATTTTTTAATGTTGTTTCAAAAAATGAATACTTAGAAAAATGATTTTATGCTCACTTATAGATCTTAATAGTATCATAAAGGAATTATTTGTACATGGAAAGTGGAGTGTTCTTTTTAGTGGAATATTTTCAACTGTTTTATTGCATCATTTATTGCCAATCGAGGTTGGTGAGCATCAGCGGAGTGGGAGTTCAATTTAAAAAACAATAAACAAAAAAATATTCCATATCAGTTTGTTTAAACGGTATTTAGGCACATGTCACCCAATCATGGCTCCGTTTCCCAGGGCTCTATCTTTTAATGACAGAAATGCCAATAATTTTGACACCGTTCAGGCGACGTGAATAGCACCTGAGCTGTTACCCTTCTCTCCAAACTTTTTCTCGTCAACTAACGAGAGAATTTTTACAAAAAGAAAAAAAAAACTTATTTTCGACTTAAACATGGAATGGTTTATATTCGGAATACTGCCGAGGAAGTTTTGTCTCTCGCTTGAATACAGGCAGCACGGAATGGCACTCTTTCTGTGTATCTCTTACTAATGGAAAAACCAGGCAAAACTCCTACAGCTCATAAATGTGTAGAAATGCAATAAAAGTGATTTAGAGCGCATGTTGCTTTTGTTTATAACGTATAATTTTTGCGTGATTTTTTATCATTTTAGTATGCTTGTTTTACGTTTTAATTTTGACCATAATTGATTGAAAGAACCTACTGTATAAACCCGCTACAAAATCTTAATTGCTTCAATTATCAAAAACTGATATTTTTAATACTATCAAAAACTCATATTTTTAATCAAAAGCTATATTATCAAAGGGCCAAAATTCATTAAGCAGGGAAATTATTTTCTCTATAGCTGTAATGTCAGTTTTTTTAAATGCTTCATAAGGTGAGTTATGATTTTATTTTTTTAATTCATAGCTTATTTCTATTCTAAATTTACAGGGATTAAATTACGGGACTGTAATTAATTACATGATTTACAGGGATTAGATAACTTTACAGGATTTAACAGGCCCCTCAAAAATATATCAAATTGCTCAATATAACGAGATTTTAATTGTCAGTTTTTATTCTCGAGAAATTACTTAAATTCTATATGTATTAAGTTAAATTTTCCGATGTTTCTTATTTTAGTTTTTCAAACTCAATTTTTGTGCTTAGTGATCAAGATCCATCCATTGAAGAATTCTTCCCAGGTGCTGCCAGAGTGGTATTCAAAGATGCCGGACATTTTATTCATCAAACATTCCCGGAAGAATATCTGACTGAAGTCGTCAATTTCATTCTTAAAGACAAATCAACGAGATCCAAATATTGAAGCAGCCACGTTGAATGATTTACGTAAGAGAACGTGTGTGACGTCACATTTCTATAAAGTTATTAATCCGTTATCAAAACCGTGATCAAGCGATTCTCCCTAAAATGAGATGAGACCTTCAAACTCCAGCGGCCCGGAACTCAATTTGACACGTATTAGTACGTATACATTAATGCACGTACTTCTTTAGAACGCATTCTCTCAAAGTGTGTAAGCTTGTCTTATTTCGCCGGTCCTCAATGAGTTAATACCAATGTCTGAAAATATCCTGCAATCATTTGGTTTGTTGAAGTTGGTGATAGTGTAAAATTTCCGTCGACGAAGTTGATGTATTAACCATGAGTTGAAGAGGATGTTGATTGGCGTTTTTCCAATTGTCCATTTTTTTTATTTTGGAGTGATGTAGACAAGCAATTATTTATCAAAAATCATAAATTGCTTAATAATAACGCTATAATAAACAAAAATGTTTCATTTTTAAAATTATGTGTAGCTCCTAAGTAAAGATTGATCTTAAATTTTAATATAAATATACATTATCAAATTATAAATTGGAAAAATGGCCCGAACGGTGAGGCTGCAGGGCTGAGTCCCACAAGTCACTTCCGTCCACCAAGAAATCAAATATACCAGTGTCATGTGTATAGCATAGTTTTTGCCAAGGAAAGTGAAGGAATCTATGTTAAAATCATATTTTTAAAACTTATTTCTCAGGAACTATTCAACCGATTTCGCTCAAATTTTGTATCTAGTCATGCAAAATTACATACTTTAAAATGATATAAAAAATTATATACCTAACAGTTCTAAATGTTTTGGACTATTCTTTAATAAAATGATAACAAAATAGATATTCTTGAAAATTAATTTTTTGTATAAAGTAATCTTTAGACAAACGAATTTTATAATTTTGTGCAAAGATTTTTCAATTCGCTTCAAAAGTTCTCGAAATATGGAGAAATACGCAACAAGCAAAATTAACGTTACGGGTTTCAAACTTTGGATCGCCCTTCTGGCCAAACTATTGGGACCCTATTTCCCTGAGGCTACCCCTTATATTTTGGGGGTCAGAAATCCGAATCCATTGAAAAGCATTTATTCTGTGAAAGTACGTTTCTGTGTCTGATTTCGTAACTTGAAATATCGTCTTCACTAATTAATTACATACTTGAGGTCACCCTCTAGAACCATTAAGATTGTTAAGATTGAACGTGAAAATCCAATCTTTAAATAAAAAGTAATTCAGGGTACTCGGTTTTTTTTTTTCAATTGTACATTCATGGAGTAGTAAAAGAATGCTTGACGTTATTTCAATAGAAAGAAAACTATTTTCTCTGTTCATCTATGTCTTAGAGGAAATAAAATAGCAGTAAACACTTCACAAAATCGCAAATATTTTATAGATTCCTAGCATTTCCTAAATTGAACATTAAAGGAAGGAATTAATGTTGTAGGTTAACAGGACCAATTAGTTAAACATGATCTGGCTCATGTAAACATGAATAAATAATTCTTCATGTTTAAACCATTTTTTTATTCAAAGCCATTTTGAACACATGTGTCAATAAAGTTCATCTCCTAAAAATAGTGACAACATTTCGAAAGCAGTTTGTAGTCGATATTAAAGTAAAGTATTTGTTGTTGTAGTTTGGTACATTTGTTATAAAGTAGTTGTAGTTAACTATAAAGAAGACGTAGTTTTTTCGACCACTGTGCACGTGCAATCATTTTGTCAAAGTTCAGTCACAAATTACCATATTAAAATATATTCAACCACGAATATTTTACCCTCGTAACAATATTTACCTTAAACAGCGTTGAACTGAAATAATTGATGTCTGTGGTGTTTTAATTTTAACAGAGAATGTGCCAACTGCGTTAATAGTAAATATGGTAAGAAGAAATAATAATTAAAACTTGAATCACGATGCTCACCTCCAATGGATATTTGCAGTAATGAGGTAGCAAAAGAGGGAAATGAAAGCGAAGCAGCCACTTACTTATAGGGAACTCTGATCCATTGAAAGATCCAAGCTTCATCTATTGTGGCGTATACCACCTACAGACCACGGGTATCATAGGACATCCTCTGGTACCCTGCTGGACATAAAATGCAACTGCTTTGGCCAGATTTAAAGGTGCCTTACTTTTGAGGGAAGTAGAAAGATCTTCCCTACTTGCAAGAAATGCTACGTTCAACCAGCTTCGCCCGAACATATTCCAGTTTGCCTCGGACTTTCTAAGGTGAATCTTACATCAGATACTCTTTTTGCGGCTGATTTTCTTGCGATCATCTGCTTCCTGGAACTTTTATGTCAGATGAAGAGGATAAGCATCAACAACTTAACTGAAACTCCTGACAAAGTGGGACCTAATTTGTTCTTGTATTATAAGCTAAGAATTCAAATGTTTAATTACAAAAGGAATTGACCTAACAACACCCCATTTATCAGAGCAATGAAAAAAAAATCTATTTTTAAAATGTATTTAATGAAAATCTAAAAGTTTATAATTGAGGTCTGGACTCTTATGACACTTGCAATTTTGTGCATTTTGGGACGTTTCTTTTCAAATAATTTTCTTTTCAAGTTTGCCGCATTTTAAAGTATATTTTAAGGTTTTTAGGTACTTCTTCCACATTTTTGACTTTGTTCAAAAGGCAATGTATTTTCCTTTTCTTTTTTTCTTCTTTATTATGAAATTTATTCTTATTAGATCCGTTTTATGATTATGAAATTATGGTTAGTAAAATTCTCTGCAATGTAACGAAAAGTTGTTTTTAAAAGTTAATTTGTTGGTATTAGTATTTCTGATATCGCAATTTCTTAATGAAAAATATGCTTCGATAGTTTTTACTCGAATTGGAATTCTTAAAAAATATGCATCTGAAGATTATAAAAAATTAAATGAATAAAACTAAATGAATAAATCCTTATTAATCAAGATCTACGCTGCTTTACATTAAACGTCAATAGCTTTAAACAATGCTATTTCTCATTATCTTAGGGAAAAATAACTGTATTGAATGATACCAAATTATTAATAAAACGATATTGAAAAATAAAAATTTTCTCGAAGATATGTTTGTGGAATTAAAATTTATAAGACTGCATTTTACACAATTCTGTAATGTTTTCTCCAATATGACCTTTAGGAAGTCTGCTTTCTTTACGGGAGCTCCAGCGGATATCTGCATAAGTGGGTCAGGTTTAGTTTAAAGCACCGTTTGATCTGTCTACTTATAGCTTGACATTCTTTTTTCTGTTCTATATAATTTTCGGAGAGTACCAATTACTGAAAATCCTTTTAGCATTTTATTTAGAACAATGTTGAGTATTCAGCAAAATCAAAAGACAAAAATAAGAAATTATTTAAATTTAAAAAAAAAAACTAATTTTAAAAAATGTGCAAGATATGTTTAAGTTTTCCTAATCTCGAAAATGTAAATGTAAACGCAATGGGTGATTGTTGACCGATGAATGTTGACAATCACATTTGGTAAACGCAGAAATATATACTAAGTGCCACTGCTCATTATGCATTTTCCCGGTATGCCCTACATCAATGTTTTTTATGGTCCACTGCCCTATTTACATTTGCCCGGTATGCCTTACAATGTTTTTTAAGGTACCCCTACCCGGTATATCCTACACTGATATTTTTAAAGTTCCACTGCCCGGTATACATTTAACATCTGAACACTGATGTTTCTCCAAATCTATCCTCCTCAGCAGATATTAAAATATCGAATAAATATAACAACATCAACGGCTAAATTAATATCAAATCGGATATCACAAATATTTTGGACATTCACCCAAGCGACTGGATGATGGTCGACATTGACCGGGTGAAAGTCGACATTATCTTGGTTTCGGTTATTCACGGTAACATATAAAAAATTAATTCCAATTCATTTTGACGTCACTTTAAAATTTTGAAAAAAGTAAAGAAGAAAGAAAACAAAATGAAAATCGGTTATGCATATAAGACGCTCGACACTGTTAAATTATTTTCAAATTATGGAATATTTTTAAAAGGCAAATGAAATTCAAAACGCTTTCTATCTTGTGACCCAGCCATAAAACTGGATCGGTGTTTATTATCTCGATGATATTATTAAGCTCAATGCTGAAACGGAAGATATTATTCACAGTCAGATAGATTATCAAAAAAGAAAAAAGAAAAGAAAAAAAAATTGCGATAAAGGAAAACAAATTCCATCAACAGTGCACCGTGGTCGTCAGTCAAGGACGCCGGCGAAGTGGTGAGTCATAAAATAATTTTATTATTTAAAAATTTTTGTTTTTTCTTATATTTATGTTACTTTTTAGTTTTCCTTGTCTTTATTATTATCTATTGCTGTATAAATATTTTTTTTGAGCGAATGCAATTCCTAGAAATTCAAATATTGTTACAGATACTCATTGCAAAATAAACATTTTTCATCAGCATTTTTACTCCACTTCTTTACTTACGAGCTCCACATTAAAAACTTATATGTTTTTAAATGAGGCTTTTTTAGAGACAACTAGATTGTGCCGAACCTATATAGTTTTCTTTCCTTTTTTTTATGACTTCCAATTGGGTGTTGTCGATGTAATTATGATGTAAGTAAATCAATAAGATACACAACTTGATTTAATGGCGTCCTTAGAGATAGTGCTGCCATCTAGAAAACAAAAGATGCAAATTGTGTTTCTAACAACAATTTAAAATAAGTTCTAAAAAAATTCATGAGTATAAAATATTTTTTGACTAAGATCCATAATAATGATCTATATATTTTTATATCTTTCTTAGTTCTATTTATTCCGCTTGAAAAAAATTATTTTATTAATTAGTTTTAACAATTTTTTTTAAAATGATCGAACCAAGCAAATTTTCAAGACAGTTTGGTTTCAAAAGGACATACAATTTGAAGTTGTATTTCTTTGAGTCTACAAATGAAAAAAAAATAGTATAAAGAGTAACTTAATCATTCAACTTAATGGAGCAAAACGATCAGATAGTAAAAATTTTTGAGGAAGAAAAAAAAAAGAAAAAAGTTATAACTCGGGTTGCGTGTGCCCATCATTTCAAATTCCGCTTATGTAACGAGATTATAATAATTTTTGCAGTTGTTTTCTTGAAAAATAAATAAAATGAAATGAAATATATTTTTATTAGACTCACACCGTTTACCCGTGATTGTTTCTCATTCATCGTTCTTGTTTTTTTTCACGTCGAAAATTTTCAAAAAATAAAAAATTCTATCATTTTGTGAATAATTATTATAATTCTGCATGAGAACATTTTGTTGAGATGGTGCAAAAATGAGTAATATTAAAAATAATCAACTGTACTCATCTGTACTGTAAAATACTGACTGTACATAATCAAGTGTATAAATCTGTACTGTAAAACAATGACTGTACATAATCAATTGTATTAATCTGCACTGTAAAATAATGACTGTGCATAATCAACTAAAAACTAAGCGTAGGAAAATAGAATGCGTTTCACAATAAGAATTATTTTTAGTCATTAGGGATACTTTCGTGGTAATTTATCTCACATGAGTTAATATGAATTTTTAAAAATTTCTATTTAATTTATAAGACATCAAATGTTTTTCTCATTCTGTTAATTTTTACACGAAATCAAGTGTGAGCTTATGAAATATCTCTAGAATGACGAATAAATGTTCTTAGAATCATTGATAAATTGTTGTTATTTAAAATAAAAATAGGTGAGAAAAAATTCGTGAAGAGTATTTAAAAGTGCGATATTTTTAAACAAATAATAGTTACAAATAAATAAATAAACATCCGTTAAATTCATTAACAACTGCGGATCTATTAGTGCAGCAAACTTCTGGTCAGTAGTTCTGTGATCTGTAGATGGGTCAGCATGTAATTTTAACTAAAAATTTAACAATTAATAATTCTCAAACTAATTATCGATTGAAATTATTATTTCATAGTACTCCCAGTACATTTCCTTAGATTCTAACGTAGTTTTAAGTACCGAAGTCTAGTAAAAATAGGATTTTTTTTAAAATTTGATTTCTCAGGACCGACTATTCGACTGATTTCAGTAAGGTTTATTATTTTGCCATGTTAAATAACATTCTTTAAAGTTATATCAAAACTTGTATACCTTACAATTTTGAATTTTAAAATGTACAACTTTTTACATCGTTTTAAAGAATGTGATTTTGTTTCTCAAAGTGCAAAATTGGAACAAAATCGATCTAGTAGTTCCAGTTAAATCAAATTTTAAATATAAAAAAAATAAAATTTAAATTTAAAAATTTGATATCTCAGGGATTATTCGACCGATTTCGTTCAAATTTTGTATTTTGACATTTAAAATTTTATCCTTTAAAGTGAAGTAAGAATTTGTACACTTAGCAATTCAGTTTTTTTACTATTGTTAAATAAAAAATTAAAAACTAAGACAAATTTAGTAAAAGTTATATTTTGCATTGCATTATCTTTGGATAACGAATTTTATAATAGTGTGCAAAAATTTTCGATTCGCTATTCTTAAGATGTGGTAAAATACGCAAAACGTAAAATTAACATTAAGGAGTCCAAAGCGTTTTTCGTCTAAATAAATAATAAAATAAATAAATAAATACGTGAAAAAAAATAATTAATAAGACAGCAAAATACCAGTTTTATTATTTATGATTATTTACTATACCGTCATTCGGGGCTACTTTGTGCAGGATTTCGCAGTTTTTGAACTTTGACATGTAAAAAAACNATTCAAAATAACCTGATGACTTTAAGTATTTTAACAGCACACAATAACAACTTTTAAAAAAATGAGATGTTCTCACTGAGAGTGAAACTGTCACCCTTCTGGCGGCCATTTTGGTGAATCGGGCGAAGAAGCCCTTATTTAGGTTCCCATAGTCTCGAGGTTTTAGATGCATTACGAAATGAGGCATCCAAGAATTCTCGAGGAGCTTGATAGTTTTTCTACGACAAAACGAAACACGATAACTCATTTAGGTTTTAGCGGCATGAATAAAACATTTTTGGCTTATTTAGAATCACATAGTTACATTTAAAGGACAGAGAAAACGTTCAAATTTGCATATTTCTTTCTTTTTTTTAAAGAAATTTATTTTAAAAAAAGGTTATTATAAAACTATTTTTAATAGGGTATTCTGCTGAGAAGAAACACAAGATTTTTTAAGATGAAACTGTCCTACCAAATAGTGTCTCCTCCACCTGATAAGGCGAGGGATTCATTGTCTCCCGTTGTCCTTCTGCACGGGAGGATGGATTCCAAAAAAACTTGGAGACATCTGGCTCCTCAGATAGCAGAGAAGACAGGAAGAAAGGTAATTATAATCACAACAGTTTATATATTTCCTCAATGACGAATTGCAGATTCCGCTAAAATGAAGAATCGATTTTAAAAACCAAAGTAATAAAAACTATATATATTAGGAATCAAAATTTCGTACAAATGTTTTAACAAAATGTGACTATTTAATAGTGTGATGAAAAAAAGCAAAGAGGGTATTAAAATGATCAAAAACGGGCAAATGTATACCGGGCAGTGGCACTTAACTAGACCTAGTATATATTTCGGACATTTACCAAAACGATTGTCAACATTCAGGAAGTGGAAGTCAACAACCACCTATTTCGGTCATTCGCAGTAACATAACTAAAAAGTCTTTCGCAAGACATCATTTTTTTTTCTTAAGGACTCGCTTTCATCGGACAAAACAATTATTTTTTGTTAGTTTAATTTCAAATTGACTACGTCATGGATTTGTCCGATTTTATTTACGTTTTACTTTATCACTTAAATATTAGTCATTTCTGGAGTACAGGCTTTTACGAATTTATTTTTGTTAAAAATTTTAAATATGATGGTAATTCCAATTTTTTTGTATCCTACACAATTGAGCCAGATTCGAATACTAGCGATAACTGGTTGATCATAGATCAGACTGCAGTTTCTGTTGAGCTAACCGTGGGAAGTTTTAATGTTTTTCATCTGCCTGGTAACACAAATGCATTTTAATTTTCATTGAAAAAGTTCTTTCACGTTGACGAGTTTGTCTTGACATTTTACTTCTGCAAATAAGTTTATATCATAAAATTAAAATATGCTCTGAAGGCTAATGTAGAAGTAATAACACATTGGAGTTATTAAATCTAACTAGGATTATGCAGAATACTACTTTCAATATTTTATCACTTCTATCCTTATTGTTATTCTGCTTTTCTCTGACTACTGACGATTTTAAACATTTTTACTTCATTTATTGATTAATTACAATAATAATTTTTTTAAATGAAATACAAAATGTGTTTCATGATAATAAATACTGTGTAAATTACTTTTGTTAATACTTCCTTTCAAAAAAAAAAAGAGAGAGAGAGAAAGTTATACATAAACCATGTTATATATACTTAAATATTACACGCTTTGAAGAATCACTCTTTTGTTTGTTTTTATTCATGACCACTGGAAAAAAATTAGATTGAAAATCGTACCTGTATTTTAGTTCTGAGAATAATAAGCAAATTAAACTTGTAGTGACTACTTGATTTTTGAAAGTCTATAAAGCACTGACGTAGATTATTTACTTAGAAAATCTATCATTACTTCCGTACATGAAGGATATTCCATTGTTAACGTTAATATAAATTTTAAGAATTCTTATTAAAAAAGTACGATCCAGACGTTATGGATTGAAAATATATCAAGAGAAAAGGGATTAAAAGAGGAAAAATCATTGTGGCTGTCAATCAAAGTATGGCTAAAAATATCTAAATACAGATTTTTTAATAATAATAATAAATGTTTGATAAAATTTATTTCTTGCACGGAATCATCTATGGAATAACACATTTTATAATTGTGTGCAAAAAAGTTTCAATTCGCTTCAGTAATTCTCGAGATATGGTGAAATACGCAAAAAGTAAAAGTAACATTATACTAACATACCGCTAAATCCCAGCTACTATTTTGGGAATCAGAAATCCAAATCCATCGAAAAAAGGGTATGCTTATTCAGAGAAAGTACATTTTTATTCCTAAATTTGTAACTTTAAATATCATCTGCACTAATTAGTTAGCATATTTGTGGTCATCCCCTAAAACCATTAAGATTGAGTGCTCGAACGTGAAGATCCGATCATTTGATCAAAAATTATTCAGGGTAATCCTTTTTTTTATTATTATTATTATTTTCGTTTGCACTAACTAATTAGCGTATTTAAGGTTACTCCCCTGAACCCGTAAGAGGATGTCCTAGTACCTGGGACTCTAACCATTGAATAAAAAGTTATTTAGGGTGATTCGTTTTTTTTTCTTCGCACTGTACATTCGAGAAGTTGTCATTTCGTTTCACAAACTAACCGATCCCTTGTTGAAAAATAGTATTCTTCGTGCCATGGATCAACAACGCTAAACAACATGAGTAAAGCACCATCCCCCTCCCCCCGTTATTTGTGCTTTTTCTTAAGTTGTTCAGCTTTTTTATTATCGATACCTTCGCTATAAAACTCAGATACTCATGGTAATTTGTCGTATTAGTTAGAAATTCCTTAAGCCTAAGATAGTTTTTAAGGACAGCGAACAGATGGAAGTCAGAAGGAAGGAGCTATGTCCGAACTGTGGAGGAGGTATTAAACGTGTCCTATTTGAACGGTGCAAAACGGGGAGTGCAGTCAGGCGAGCCCTTAACAGAACCTCAAATGCCGGAAGACTCTTTTCAGTTTCTTCAGCAAACCTCGTAATTAATGGCAGTATCATGTTCCGTGAAAGGCCGACCGACCTGTGTAGGGGACAGGGAATTGACCTTGCATTAGAAAAATTTGGGTTCGAATCCCAAGTGAGGCATGAATGTTCTTTCATTCTCTGTACTAGCTGTCCTTACTGTGGGAGCAACGTTGGCCCACCAAATAGGGTGCCCCTGAAAAAGTGGCCCCTTCAGATGTTTCATGTTTCTCAAACCTTCACCAATAGACCATTGTGCAGCTCTAGTGCGACGTAAATGAAGCACTTACCTACCTATCTGTTGTTATTGATTTGAATAAAATGATTAGGATCAGATTTTTATTTTATTTTTGTTATGAATTATTTCAGGTGTACTGCCTAGATGCAAGGAATCACGGTGAGAGTCCATGGAGCAATGTCATGGATTACGATGCGCTCGTCCAGGACTTACAGGAATTTCTGTCAGAACAGAATCTCAACAGAATCATAATCGTCGGTCACAGCATGGGTGGGAGGACAGCCATGTTTTTTGCGCTCAAAAAGGTTTCTCTTTTTTTTATTACTTCTTTTGTCTCTGAAATTATTATTTAAAACTAAAACAAATAAAGTTGGTAATTTAAAAAAGAAAACCTATGGTGCTCAGTGAAAAAGATGTCACAGAATGCAAATTAATATAACGTTAAAAACATGACGTCATCCGCATGAGAAAATCAGAAGTGTTCAGCTTGTCGAATATTAAACCTCTATCCTCCTTTCTGTGTGCGGCACGTAGCGTCCAACGTACACGCTTACTAGTTTACGATTTTTGATGTTCTTATACGTTGAGCCGTGGTGACCCAGGGGATGCCTCCCAATGAGGTCACACGGGTTCCAATCCTAGCGACGGCAGGTCGTTACGAATTCCGCATCGACCACAATGCAGACGTAAAATATCCTCAATGGTAGAAGGAATAAGGGGTTAGAGTCACCTTTCCGTCAGGCTAAGCGTGGGAGGTTTTCGCGGTTTTCCTCGCCATGTAACGACTGTGCGAGTTAGTTCCATAAAAAAGTCCTCCACGAAAGCAAATTTTTTCCAATACTTGATCCAGGAGTTTCCTTGCCTTCTGGATTGGGTTCAAAATGACAAAGGCTACGGAGTTGAACTTTGGTAGTTGTAAACCCTAAATTGGATCGGCTGTTTAACGACGTTAATATATAAACCTCATGCGTTTTTCAATACATATTCATCACTTCGTGTTTTTAAATGCTTTAGTTTCTGCGTTGGGAAATAAAATTTAAAAGAAATTCGAAGACCGGATTTTTAGATTGCAAATAGAATAAGATGATTAAAAATTGTCATTTGAAGATCCTCTGAAGAAGGATTAATATTTCTTGCCTAAGGGATGGATATTAGGTTTTTAATGAGAGCCTTCTCTTCATTTGCCTTTTTTAAATGAATGAACCTCTAGAAATGTAGGCGGAAAGATTTTCTTGAAAGTTTAAAAATATCATTTACTTCAAAATGTATAAAGCAGGTTTCGATCGCTAAAAAACACCGTCATCCAGTCTCAATCGAAGTGAATCAAGAAAACAAAACAGATTTGAAATAGAAAATGCAAATTCGCCAACCAATAAATAAATATGGAAAAACAAAACTAGAAAAAACTGCGGTGGCCAAGCGATGTTTTACCAAAGAGGAGGTGGTGAAAACCTCATGTTTGTCAACTAGGGCATCAGTAATCAAATGAATGAAAAATGATTCTAGAACATCAAAATGAGCTGATGGGACAGATGTGAAAAGAATTTTTGCATTATCAAAATTTAATTTATGCCGAAGGTGCTAACAATAGCCATCGTTGTATTGTAAATGCTCTAGCGATTTTCAATTCTTATTGGATAAATATCTATAGTATTTATATATAATAATATTCAATACTTCATAGCTGAAATTTGATTTTGTTAATCGACATGACAATGACTTAAGAATCAAAACGGGATAGGATATAGGACTTTTAATAGCGAATGAAGAAGAAAAAAGTTATAGTAACGGTAGGATTTTTTTTTTTGTTGTCAACTTTATTTTCACTCTATCAAATCTGTTTAAGTCACGTCTGGAGAGTCTCGAGAATGAATGCCTATTTTTTGGCGCTCGAAACAAGTTTTTCTTTTCTACCTCTATAATTTTTGAAGTTTATAAGTGTTTTCGCTTACAATTACAAATTTATTTCGATTTGTGGTGACTAAGATATCGAGTGCTCGACTTCCAATGAGAATGGCTGATCAATTCCGCTCCCGGCTTGTACCACGTGCTTGCATAAAATATCTTAAATGGTAAACGGGATCATGGATTCGAGTCTCCTAGTCACCTCGCTAACTTTGGAAAGTATTCGGGTTTTTTTCTCTCTCCACGTAGCTCAAATGTGGGTTGGTACTATGCAAAAGTTCTCTACGGAGGCTAGTTTGTGCAAATGCATGGACTAGGGGTATTCTTGTCTCCTGGGTTTTGTTCAAATATGCAAAACTTCAGAGTTTAAAATTGATGGCGCCGGTTGAACACCCGTTATTAATTATAATAAAATAGTCTTATATTAAAAAAAATCGAGGAATAGAAGTTTTGCTTGTTAAACTCACATCTTATTGTATTTCACAGAATGTTGTAACAGTTGAAATTAGCATTTTCCGAGTCTTTTAATTGGCGTTGTTTTAGTAACAAAATCTATAAACTTCGTTTTAGGAAATTTTCAAACTAATTCTGAAATGATAATTGTTATTGCAGCCGGAAATGGTAGAGAAACTGCTGATCGAAGATATGGTAGCCTCGTGCTACAGTTCTTTGGCGAAAATATCTGTCCTGCAGATGCTGAACCTTCTTCGTCAATCCTTGCATGCCATTCCTGATGATGCCGATGAGTTGACGGCAAAAAGAGTTGTTGCTGAATACATCAAATCACAATTGCCACCAGTAAGGAGAATATTCTTGTGAATATACTGCTCATATTGTGCGGGGGNCGGGGGGGGGGGAGTTATTTAGATTTTAAAAGAAATAATCATCAAAAATTTAAAAAAAAAAATTTTTTTTGAAGCAAAATCTAATTTGAATCATATCTATTTAGCGTTGCAAGAAAAATTCGTGAAATTTAGGTGGTTAAGTGAAATGTATCAATAATAAATATTAACAACAAAGAAAAAATTGAAACTATTGCAATTGAAAAGAAAATTAAGAAAACAATGGCAATCTAACTGAAGCAATATAACAATCAGTAGCTAAGAAGCTTTTGAATTCCATAATCTTGATATTGTTGGGATACTTCTGGAATATTCTTTCTTCGTTCTGATTTTTTTAAGGAATAAATAATCAATAAATCGGTATTAATCAGCACTGCAAAATCATGCTTAAATCTAAAAAACATTCACATTATTAATAGAGCTAACATTATTCTGTTTAATAACATCTATTATTGTCTATTGCCTTCCCGGTGATGTGTTACGATAATAGAATAAGCATAGCATGTTCATTCCATCGAAATAAAAATTAACTGTATCATCTGGCATGATATTTTTGCTCCAGGGGAATTGATAATAATTCAAAATTACCACATTTGAACCATTATTTGCATTACTTATCTCTTTCAGGAAGGCGTAAAAATCATATTACCACGGTACCTATATTAGGTACTTAGGTACCAATATTAAATATTTTTATTAAGCTTACCTATTAAAACAGCACCTATCATCCCACTACCAGTATCACTTAGTACCGAAATTAATTAGCATCTTTTCTTCAATAATAATTGGACGATTTCTTTAAGGTGACCCAAAACGAGAAAAAGCCATAATTTTGCTTTTTCCTACAATTTATTTATATTTTCATTGAATGACAGTTAATTTTAAATTAGTTTCATAGAAACTAAAAGCATAACTATAAACAACACTTGATTTTACATTTCAAAAAAACATATTCGGTGATGTTGCCTGCCTATGCTACCACCTCCACAACATTGTTCGTATTGTAAACTAAAACTTCGTATTGTCCAGCATATTGGACTCCAAGTCTCAAGAATCTAAATATTTGCAAATATTACGAGCTTGATACAGAGAAAAACACTCCCTATTCTAAATTACTCATTGGAATTAAGTAAAATTGGTTTTAAAAAATATCGCAATGATTTGTTAATGTTTTAAATAAAAAACGTAACTTTCGGTGCAAATTGAAAAAGTTCCTTTGAGTTTCGTAAATAATTCATTTGATTTCAGGAAGTGACAGAGAAGAGGAAATCATCTTTATTCGATTTGGACACGATGCCCATCAAGAGGGAGGACAACAAATACAAATGGCAAGCCAATCTCGATGTTCTGGAAGAATTTCTGAATTCGGACAGAAATAATAAGCCCATGCACGGAATCTATTATGGGGAAGCTCTTTTCTTATACGGAACCGAATCATTTTTCAATGTGTAAGTGTGCCCCCCTCCCCTACAATTTTCTTACAAAATATTTTCATTTACTTACTTACCGTTTGATCCATAAGGCTCTATGGCTTGGTCTGACTTCCTCTAATACTTTAAATTTTGCTCTTTTGAAATCCACCTGCATTTGCCAAGTCATTCTTAGTCTTCCGCTTTTTCTCCAGCCATCCAGAAGAGAATAACATGCCTTAATTATTCTGTTGTAATGAGGTTTGTCTTTTTTCAAAATTGTTTCATTTCTTATTTTGTCAGGTCAAAATATTTCAAAAATTTTTTTGAGACAGTCATTTTGAAAATCCTCAAATTTTCAGTTGTCTGCCTTTCTGAAAAACCGTGTTTTTGAGAATCAAATAATAATAATGATATTCCGATTATTTTCTATAAGTAATTTTTTTTCGGTATTGAATGCTTGTTGTTTTCAAGAATTCTATTTTTATTTATTTATCATTTATTCCTTTGATTAAATTTCTTTTTTTAACTTTTTATTTATTTATTTATTTATTTATTTATTTATTTATTTATTTANTTTTCTATAAGTAATTTTTTTTCGGTATTGAATGCTTGTTGTTTTCAAGAATTCTATTTTTATTTATTTATCATTGATTCCATTGATTAAATTTCTTTTTTCTTTTTACTTTTATTTTTTTATATATTTATTCAGTCATTCATTGTAAACAAGTGCTACTACAGTAATATAGAATAAATTAAATTTTCTTGAAAATTAATTTGACCTGCTTAAAAATAAAAGTCAATTTAAAAGTTGTATATTGAAAAGAGAGACATTTTTTAAAAAAAAATAATGAAAATAGCTACTATTAAAATATTAATTCAGCAAAAGTACTCATAAGCTTTTGGAGACAAAATTTTAAAATTAAAACCAAAATATAACTGAAATAGTTAGTTTTGAAATATCCGACAGTTAAAAAAAATTAAATAAACTGAAATAATAATAATAAAAACCAAACAATTAGTTTCCAAAGAAATTACTTAAAAATTAGTTTTGAGAAAAAGGACAAAAAATGACAGTTATCTATTTAATTACCACTGTTTTTTAAATCCTCATTACTTTTGTTTTATTTGAGGTAAGAAAACTCAAACTGTTTTTGAAAGAGGAAAGTCCTTAATTTTCTTTTCTATAAATACAGAAAATATTTTTGTCAAATCTGACTTTGAAATTTAGACGGGCACCTTAAAATTTTAAAAACAGTTTTAGGTCATACTCATAATTAACATCAAACTCATACTTATTTTATCAAAAATTATTCTTTAATTATAAAAACAAATGTGTCAAATTAAAAAGAAGACTCTCTAAGACTTAAATTTATCAATAAAAAATTAAATCAATTAAGTGTCCTTAAAATTACTTACGTAAAATATTCCAATAAATAACTTTAAAACTTAAATTTTAAAAAAATATTTAAACACTCACTAAATTTAAATCTTTGAAATAATAATCTTAAATGGAAAATTCTTTTAAAATATTTAATTTAATACTAACTGCAATACAATTGTTAATGAAACTAATCATAGTTTAGATAAATATTGTTGTCTTTTGTTAATATTTTTAATTTTATTTGAACTGAAATTTTTTCCATTAAGACCACAAATTCGCACCTCATAAGTGACTTATATGCAAAATATTATTTTTCCTAATTTCTGTTTTATTTTCGTAATACACAAAAGCAAAACTAATCATCTTTTAGTCAGCATAACAATGTTATTTAATTTTTATATTTTGAAATCGTCTACAATATCTTGAGTCGTAATTTAAAACAAGTAACCCAAATAATTTTTGACATTTTTCAAAATTAAAACTGAATATTTTTTTTAAAATTATATCTGACTTTTAAAATAAAATTAATTCAGTAACTGGTCAAGCGTTGATGAGTTATTAAGTCATTAGATATTTAGTAGTTATACGTTTATATTATTTATACAATTTGCGATAAATATTAAATTGTAAGTTTATATAAAACTCGAAGAATAAGAGATAAATTCACTGTTTTTATCAATATTTTTTTAAATATAGAACAATTAAAATCGAGATTTATTTTTATCATTTTAAACATTTAATATTTGTTTACACCCTGCGCATCAACTGGTTGTTATATTCTTTATTTGTTTGTTTTTCAGTCCCGATGACCAAACCATCAACCATTTTTTTCCAAAAGCTGTCAAAGTACCTGTTCAAAGTGCCGGACATTTGGTGCATCAAGATTGTCCTGATGAATTTGTGCACCATGTGATAAAATTCATTAATAATGGTGATAATAATGCAATATGAACTTTCATTTAGGAAATCACTTGTAAAGAATATTTTTTTCAATAAAATAATTAATAAATGTTTTTGATCTACATTTCCTTTTCTCTTTCATTGTAAACCAATTTTTCGGAAATAAATAAACTATTTTTTTTCCAACAGAGAACAATTTTTTTACTATTCTTTTTATTTTTAATGCAACGAAATCCTTCTGATTGCATAATTATAATAGGCAATAATAGTTAAAATAAGGAGTAGCCTTAGCTGGGAGCTAAATTATGTCCGACTTGAAAACAATTTTTAAATTTAATATGTTTTGTTTATCCGCAGATATAGAATTATAGTTTTCCANCTAGCAAAACATTTTTATAAGTTTAAAATGGTATTTTTTTAATATAATAACCAAGAAAGTTTTTTTTTAACTATGTTTATGAACGGAAATAATGTGTTAATTACGTAAAGTCTGAAGGCTAATTACCAGAAAAAGTCTAACTTATTTTTACAAGAGAAAGATGCAAAGTTATCATATCTTTGCTTGCGATCTCCGAGATCTGTAGACACAGTGACGTCATGAGGAGAGAAATCGTAGCTTCCGCTCTAAGAGCGGAGTGAACTAGCCCTTGTATTCTCTTTAGCCCTGGTTATATGGATCGGTCAGTGGTCGAAAGTAGCGAAACTACTGTAGTAGCTACTATTTTCCGTGGTTTGTAGTGTATTGCACTACTTTTTAAAAGAAGTAGTGTAGTGAGCAGTGCCATACAAAAAAAAGCAGTAGTTTATAGCGATTCCTGGCAACATTTTTAACGTTAGTTAAATAAAAAAATAAAGTTCAAACGCAAAACATTTTCAAGAAAAATTTTCCCGTCAACGTGCTTCTGTACCCGAGCGTTAATAAGATCGACGTCTGATGCTTAGAAAAATCGGAGCGAAATCGGTCGAATTGTTCCTGAGAAATAGAATATCTGACTTTCTTGAAATTTCATTTCTCAGGCACTATAAGGTACGTTTTTGTGTCTGATTTCGTAACTTAAAATATAGTCTGCATTAATTAATTAGTATATTTGTGGTCACTCCCATAAGCCATTAAGACTGAGTCCTAGAGCGTGAGGATCCGATTATTAGATCAAAAGTTATACAGGATGGTCTGGTTTTTTTTGGTTTTTCGCACTGTACTTTATTTCTCGGAAGATATGAAAAAAGCATTGATCACTTAAATCACAAATATTTGATAATTTTCTGGCATTTCTGAAATGACTGCCGAGAAAAGCGTAGAGTTTGAAACTTAAAAGTACAAATTCATAAAAAGCACTTTAGAATAAAATAACTATTTCGTGTAAACATGAATTAAAACTTCTTAATATCTCCTCCTATTTAACCAAGCCAATTTTTTATTCAAAATCACTTCGAATATTGATGAAAATTAAGTTCTCCAGTTAAGTTTGTGTTCTAGAGGTAGTGACTACATTTCGAAAGTAGTTTGTAGTCTCTACATTTAAAAAAAAAGTAGTTATAGTTAACTACAATTGTAATAAATTAGTTGTAGTTAACTACAAGGCTGACCACTGGGATCAGAGACTCAATGTTGAATAGAATCGGTACAGAGATGGAAAACTGGATTTCAGTATTATGGAGTGCAACAACTCTTCAAAATCGGATTTACAAGTCATTCATAAGAAAAAAAATACCACAAAGATTTATTAAAAATATGTTTCGGATAAAGTTGAGGATTTGTTTTGCCTATTATTATTTTGCATTCTATACAATCTAAGGGCTAAGTTGGCTACAGTGTAAGCCACCTGGAATAAAACGTAGGAACAAGATCCCTATTTGACAAGTTTTTTTGGACCTTGGGAAGAATGCCCCAAAGTGATTGCATTTAAAATGTCTAACAGGAATTGCTTCTTACAGAGATTTGTTGAACAAAAACCAACTTTCGTGCAACCAAATATATAACCTTTACGGGTAGCAATGAAATCATTAGTTGGAATTCTTGTGCGGTATAATCTCTTCTCCCAAATGCTTTTAAATGAAGATACAGTATACTCACAAAATCCTTGTTATGTCAACAAAAGTACTTTTCCCCTTAGCATTACATATCCACCTAATATTAATTTGAATTCCTTTGTCAAAACCTTGTTACGTTCAGTACTTTTCGAAGTAATAAATTACTAATTTTGAAAAAATCACCGGATACCACCACACGACATTACTGCGTCAAAAGAAAAGAAAAAATGCTGCCCACATATACGTAAAATACTTTATGGAATACTCTGCGGAAGGCGATGACTTGGCAGCTATTTTTTGAATAGAAAAAATGATGGGTGTTTCAATGTCGAGAGGCCACGATGGAAGAGGTTTTTTTTTCTTTAATAAACCCTATTAATGCAAATTTAATGTAAACGAATTATTTCATATTGAATGCGTAATTATTTTTGAGTTGCTTTTAAAAATAAAATTATCGGTATTTAGACTTATTTAGGCTTATTTTCAACTATCATACAAATATATTTATTAGTACATATTCTGATAAAGCATGGCTCTACGTTTTAGAATAATGTTTAAGAATTTTTATTTTACGTTTTAGAATATATTTGGTTCTGAGCGTATCATCTCAAAAACTAGCTATCTTAAAAATTTTTAGCGTCCCTTCAACTTTGAGATGTGGAGAATATACTGTAATATTAAATCACTCATCAATTGTGACACTTGTGCATTACAGATATTTCCTGTCACTCTCAGGCTGCGGACAGGTTGTGTCATACTTGTGACAGGTGCTTCGAATAAAATATGTATTACATGAAGCCAAAGATAGACATATTGGAGCAACACGAAAGTCTGGATCAAAGATTTCTAAGTTAAAAACTTTACTTTTTTTACTACAAACCCCTAAAACCTTCTATACCATTTGTCTTATTGACTTAGTTTGTATCTCATTCAATTCACCATAAGCAAATACAAAGGAAAGAATACCTCACTCGTCTAGATAGCAAATATAAAGTTTTCCCCCTCTTGCCTTGCTATATTTTAGTAAATTTAAGATAGTGGCTCACCTCGAGCGAAGATGCCAACTCATGTATATTTAGTAACTTTTTCAATTTTTTCGGAATTATTTCCGCTATTTTAAATGACGTGTGTACTATCCTGTGATGAATACAAACAACCTCTCAATATGTCGTGAAATCCTCCGATAACTTTTCAGTGACACTATTGACAGGTTTAGTTTATGATAGAATTCCGTGCAAGCTTTAACAGAAATTTATCATTTTCGTAAGAGATAAGCTTTTTATCTTTTCTCCCCCTTGAATGTCGAATAAAGAGAAATGATAATCAGGCGTATTGTGTGTGAAGAACGGAACAATAAAAGTATTGACGAAACATGATAGAAGGAAGAACTTTGGATGGGAAAAAAGAAAAATGTTCTGAAATTTTTACTGTCGGTAAGTGATGAGAGGGTGTGAGTGATATAAGAAGATGGCCGCCAACGCAGCCGAGGAATTCAAAGTAATCCTTGTGGGGGAGAGTGGTAAGTTTAATTCCAAACAAATAATCATATTGAACCGGTAGTGCCACGCCAGCTAGAAGTGCCGTTCCGAAAGATTAGGGGGGAGGGGGGATTATCAAAATTTTTTTGATAAGATGTTTGAAGCAGAATAAAAAAAAATTTCTTAATAATTTTTAACTTTATACCCAATGAAAATACATAAATAAACTACTAAGTTAGAATTATAGTGGAACTACCTTTTTTAATAATTTTATCTTAACAGAAAATCCTATGGAGAATCACTATACATAAAAGTCTAATGATGGTGACGCAGTTTTCCATTGTTGTCAATATATTTTTATTGGGTAGAAAATCACATGGTAGGTTCCAGTTTTCCCCCATTAATTTTCCTATTGTTTTGGTTGTCATCAGCGTGAAATTGATGTAAGTCATAAAATTATTGTTTTCCTATAAATATTTTTGCATCCTTAATTTAAAGGCTAAAATTACCTGCACTGTTATTATTACGTTTTTGATTTTGCTTGATGTCTAAATTAAGAGTTTAGGATTCTAATTTAAGTTTTTTTTATTATTCTTATTAGTAAAACTAAACTAAACTCAGCGGAGCGACAGCCCATACAGGGCCAAGGGCTACTGTGCTCATCTCAGTTTTCTTGACCTTTTTTGGGCTCAGGGGTGCAAGAGCAGATGTTCCTGTTAGATGGTCAGCCGAACGCGAAACCCCCATCAGTGTTTAGTTCCCAAGCATGCTTGGCACTCATTTATCGATCCACTGAAGAGATGAAAGGCTGATTCTTATTAGTAGTGTGATCTAATTCTACGTTACATTTTAAGATAAAGTTATTGAAATCGGTGTTCAATTTTATTAACCGTTTTGTAATTATTATTCTTGAGGGCAAATCTCATTAATGTACTGTTATGAATGACGGTTAAAGAGATTCATTAATGATTTAGAACTTAACTTTCAGCTTCATGCACAAAGTGATGAATGCAAAAATTGTATTTAAAATACATCCGCTTGTTTTGGTAAGCAAAAATATTAAATAACTGTTGTGAGCTCACCAAATTTGTCATAACAATCCACTTTTAATTTTAAATGCTATTTCAAAAAGTGATTACTTAGAAAAATGATTTATGTTCACTCGTAGATCTTAATAGTATCATATGGGAGGGAAATATTTGGACTTGGGAAGTGGGGGCACAAGTGTTCTTTTCAGTACATATATTTATAGTTGAATAATTTCAACTGTCTTATGCCAAGAAACAGCAATTAGTGCGAATCAATCATCGTTGTTGGTGAGCGGACAGGGAGCTTCACCTCCTAGTAGTCAAATAAAAAATATAAATGTCAAAGCAAACGTGGGCCAACATAGATTCAATCCTCGCAATAGTTGGTTGATTCGTATACTGCTCCTCCAACGATTCTCAGTATTTGACCGATCTTAGAGTCACCTTGTCTTCAGGGAGAGTTTTTGATGTTTTCCTCTCTTATGTGACGAAAATGCTGATCCGCTCTATCAAACAAATTTCGCGTCGAAGTTCGTTTATTACAATTCTTAATTCAAAAGATTCCTTATTTTTAGGGTTGAGCAGGAACTCGGAGTTGAGTTCTGGTAACAGCAAACCTAGTATGAATTTTTTTCATCACCGGTTATAATATATTAGTAATAACTTTAATAATGTTTGGACAAGGATACTTTTTCTCTCTCAAAAAATAGTTCAGTCAAAATAGGGTTTAAATTGAACATCTAAAAATATGTTTCCCGCAGCAAAAACTATTTCAAGTACCACCTTCAAAGTAAATGGTAAAAAGTTGCATCAGATTCTGGTGAGAGGGGCCGGGTGAATGGAGATGAAGGAATGTAAATATTTTTATCTGTTCAATTGAAGCATAAACTTGAATGTTTTTACGATAAATAGAATAAAAACAAATTGTTCTTTGAAATAATGGTTTCATTTGAAAAATTATAATGTTTTACTTGATTTATTTACGTATCTGACATTGCTAATCTAGACAAATAAAGTATTGTTTTCTATGCTTTTCTCCACGTTGAATTAATCAAGGGTTAATAAGCTGTTCAGAAGTTGCAATAGTTTTTATGTATATTATACACATAAAAATCTAATGATGGTGCCTCAGTTTTCGATTGTTGCCAATACATTTTTATTTGCTCGAGCATCTTAAGATAGGATCCAGTTTACCCACATTAATTCCTATTGTTATGGTTTTCATCAGCATGAAATTGATAAGTTGTAAAGTTATTGCTTTCCTATAAATATTTTTGTTTCTTCAATTAAAAGGTTAAAATTAACTGCACTGTTATTATTATATTTTTGATTGTTCTATCTTCTAAATTAAGAGTTTAGGAGGATTGTTTTTATTATTATTATTATAAGAATAATGTAATTCTACATAACGCTTTAAGATACAGTTATTTAAATTGGTGTCTTATCTTATAAACCTTTTTACAATTAATACTTTTTAGTGCAAATTACATTAATATACTATTATGAATGACAGTTAAAGAAATTCATTAAATGATTTAGAACTTAACTTTCAGCTTCATGCACAAAGTGATGAATGCAAAAATTGTATTTAAAATACATCCGACCGTTTGGTCAGCAAAAATATTAAATAACTGTTGTGAACTCACCTTATTTGTTATAACAATACACTTTTAATTTTAAATGCTTTTTCAAAAAATGATTACTTAGAAAAATGATTTTTTGTTCAATTATAGATCTTGATAGTATCATAAAGGAATAATTTAGACGTGGGAAGTTGAGTCACAAGTGCTCTTTTATTACATATATATATTTATAGTTGAATAAATTCAATTGTTTTATGCCAAAAAAAGACAATTATTGCGAAGCGATCACATGGGTTGGTGAACGTCAGCGAACAGGGGGCCCTTATAAAAAGTATTTTGTCCATACTTTTTTATACTTAGAATGTTGCTTTCTCGTGCCTATATCGACACTGAAAATACGTATTGATAATATTCTATTATTTTTGGATAAATTCTAAATGTAATATCTAAAATTATAGACTAAATTCTAGGCTCCATGCATGGTCTTATAGTTTAGAAGTTATAATTGTTTATATAGAAAAAAGTTCAGTTTTGGACACTTATTTAAAACCTGACATTTCTCTCTAGATAAATAAATTATTGTTGTTTGAGTGTTTTTCTTTTCATAATGAAATGAGAGAGATTAATAAAAAGTCTAAACATGAAAGAGTTTTCATAAATAAAAAGTATGTTCTTTCTGGTACTGATTAATATTTATGACTTTGCTTTATCATAGCTATCTAGAGAAGTGATATTGTTACTTGAGTACTTTTTACGCTAAATCGACTGAGACCAACTAATAGCTTTGAAAGAAAGTGTAAACATTACTGTACAATAATGGCATAACGTGAACGAGTAAAAAATAGCACTTTTTACAGATGTTACGGTGAATAACCGAAATCAAGAGAATGTCGACTTTCATAGGTGAAATGTAAACAATCACATACTCCCTTTGGTGAATGTACGAAATATTTGTTATATCCGATTTGATATTAATTTATTCGTTGATATTGATTATATTTATTCGGGATTTTAATGCCTACTGTGGATAGATTAGAAGAAACATCAGTGTTCGGAGTAGCAGTTAAATGCATTCTGGGCAGTGGCTGCTGATCTTAAGAAAACATTGATGTAGGGCATACAGGGCAGTGGCACATGACTAGATCTAGTGCATATTTCGGACATTTACCAAAGCAATTATGTGATTGTCAACATTCACCGCTGGAAGTTCGACCACCACCAATTTCGGTCATTAACAGTAACATGCAAAGGTGTAATAATTTAAGATAATTTGCAGGCTTGTTCGATTATCTCTAGAACTACTGGACCGATTTTAATGAAATTTTATATGTACATGCATTGATACAATACAATGCAAATAACCATTCATCAATTGTAATACACACGCACAATCGTGCGTAACACTCGTTGGTGTCGGAAGGTATGAAACAGCAGTTGCAAAATAAGCAAAAAAAAATGAGTTAATAAGGGTCCCCTTTACAGATATGCAGGCCTTCCAACGTGATTTCATACTTGAAATAAGCAGTTTATCATTTCCTCTGGCAATTGGTCCCACTCGTTCAGCAACGCTGCTTTCATTCTCTGGAGGGTTCTCGGAGGGGAGTAGCGAGATGCAATTGCCCACCGCAGAGCATCTCAGACCTCTATAGGGTTGATCCATCTGGAGATCCATCCGGCAAATATCTCCCCTCTCTAGAAATTCATCGACCAGAAGAGCTTTATGTGGCCAAGTGTTATCGTTCATTAAAATGAACTCAGAGCCAACTGCACCCCTGAAAAAGCGAACATAAAGCTCCAAGATCTCACCCCTATACCTCACGCCAGTAACAGAGCCTCTTTCAAAGACATGGGGAAGTGTGCGACCATCCAGCATGATGCTTTTCCAAACCATTAAACAGCCACAATGGTCTAGGCAAGCATCATGTTGGATGGTCGCACACCTCCCCACAATCTTCGATTTCGCGGACATTGAAGGGAGTGCAGCTTGTCCCTGGTGCTCTCCATATGAACATACGGCGATAATCGGTGTTCAGGTTTAACCGGGACTCATCAGTGAAGAAAACGGTCGCCCATTGATCCATATTCCAATCTCTATGCTCTCTGTATCATGCTGAGAGCCATTCTCCTGTTCACAGAAGTGAGCTGGGTGCAAAGAGCAGGTCATCTTGCAAACAACCCTCTCTCATGAAGTCGTTTGGAAACAGTCACCCTTGATACACTGATTCCTGTGACTGCGTACAAGCCACGAGAGAGCTGAGAAGCTGAAGCCCCTTTGTTACGCCTCACTATAATGGACAAGTGGTGATCTTCTCTGGTCGTCATAGTTCTTGGACGACCTTGCCCAGGCTTTCTTTTAAGGGATCCGGTATCCCGGAACTGTTTCCATGAGTTACGCACGACGCTGGCCGTTAAATTGAACTCTCTGCAAATCTGGACCTGAGATTGACTTGCTTTTAGCCTCCCTACAATTAACCACTTCATTCCATCATCTAAACGTCGGTGGTTACTTATTTTTACTGTTACAATTTGAATTCAACCTATTGCTACAAAATAACACCAAGAAATTTTCTGAGGTGTGCTAGCGAACGAAATATGCATGTTAACTTAAGCGCACTTAAAAACCCTGTTTCTCTACTGGCTCCACCTACTGACACGTGCACGTTTACGTATTTTATGCACAATATTTTTGTCCAGAAGCAGTGGTTTTTACATTCAGTTCAGTTCTTTTCATGAAATTCGATAAAATATATGCTCTTCATTTATTTCATCAGTGTAAATAAAACTTCTTACAATATAACTTTTGCTTGATTTCATTCGATTCAGTTCATATTAATAAAAATATTGAAGATTTCTTTAAGCATTTCGATGTTTCTTTATAGGAGTTGGCAAAACGAGTTTTGTTGTCAGATTTGCTGACTCCAAGTTTCAAAGTAAGAATTTATTTAAATTCTTTTTCGCATTCAAATTTAATTTTTAAATAATGTGCTTCTTTTAATTGAATGGTTTTTGTTTATCTGTTTATTATGCTTATCTACTTAACTACATACATTTTAATGGAAAATTGCATTTCATTGGTGAATTTGTTAGTTGGGATCTATCAAATTACGTACTTAAGAAATTGTTCATAACTTGATGATTGTGCATGACTTCATAACTTTTAAGAAAATGTATGCATTTTAAAAATAATGGATCTAACTCAAAATGCGCATTCCAAAAAATAGGTTGAAAAACGCTTTTTTAACAATTGCATTAGCTCAAGATGTACATTTAAGAAAATGAACTTAACATTTTTTTTATTATGTAATAATGACCTTTCTATTAGAAATAGCTGACTTTTGACGTCCAGCCTAGTCACCCATTAAAATTATCTAGTACAATACTTTAACGGTAGTCCACGGCTTTGCCCATGCAAAAGTACATAGAGTTTTATTTTTATTTTTTTTCAAGAGATGTCCGTGATATTGTCTTTATGCATGGAATTTTAGTAATCATTTAAAATCTGCCCGGTGGCCATTAAATCACGCAAACCACCGTAAGCATGAGTTCGGAGCATTTCAGCATTGTAGGCAGAAGAATTATTTCCATCTCTGTCGTGAGATAAAATAGAAAATTCATCTCAAAGCTTCGTTACGCGCTTTACTACATCCTCACTCACCTCTCGAGCCCTAATTTGAGTATACGCTATTACTCGAAAAAGGCAGGCTCCTTCACCAATAAGTGGTATCACAGTTACAAATTATGTAGTAGCATTTATATTTAAAATTTCTAGAAATTTATGTTTAAAATTTCTACAGCTGAATTTCATTTGTAAAATTTCTTCTAATTTAAATTAGGATTTTGGTTTTAACTTTTTCAATACATGTCCACGATATTGTCAAAGTTCTTTATGTATTGAATCTTAGTAATAATGTAAAATCTGCCTGGCGACGATTACGTCACACAAACCACCGTAAGCATGAGGTAGGACATTTCAGAATAGAATTATTATCCATTTCTGCTTCTGTTCCTCTCGAGACATAACTCGAGTATCTACTGCTCGAAAAAGGTAAGCGCCGCCACCAATACATTGGTATGACAGTATGTTGCTCAGTAACACACATTTGCTGACACATTTATGTTAATACACATTTAGAGCTATAAATAAATAATGAGCATGTTATTAGGGAGATTTCGCAAACTTAGGTTGGCTTCCGTACACTCCCTAACGTAAGATTGCAGGTAATTGCACATGCCCATTAAGAATGCGCATGCATAAATTCTGGTCATATGCGCTAGCGCTCTTGAAAAAATATAAAGCTTACGTGACTGAAAATAAGAGATTTCGTAAAAATCCGTAAATTAAAAACGCTAACGTAGAGAAATATCGTTTGATCTTTGACTAGAAAATCATAACAAACATTTACAATGAACTTAAGAGATATCTTCACGTTCAATCAACATGATTCACTTCCAAATTTCATCAATAACGTTTCGTCAAATTCGCATTCCGTGTCCATGTTTTTTGTTCGAAGGTAGGCTTAAACAGAAAAAAATATTTAACAACTATACAGAGCGTGCTTGTTGTTGTAGTGTTAATCACGACCGTTAAGATACGCGCAGCATCTGAAATAAACACGAGCATGCGCAGTACGGGAACGTGCGGAAGCTCAAGTAAAACTGCGAAATCTCCCTATGAATTGAAAAATGAATACTATGATGCTTAAAAATTTTATATTGATAAAAAGTATGATATGTTGAAATAAGCATTTGTTTATGAAATACAATGAAAATATGTGGGAAAAATTTCAATCCACATTTTGTTTTATTTTTAACCCTCAACGCCTTGCATTTTAATGCAATAGTATGTTGTGATGATGCTTGTCGTAATCAAGACCATTTTTATTCTTAAACACGTACTTATTTAATTTTAAATAAATGGTTTAAATTGCGTAAAAAGTTTCTATAAATTTGACCCCAGACAGTATCTTGTTTTTTTTCCTTCTTTTGATATGCCATCTTATCAAATACTAGCTTTGAATGAAGTGTTTAATTAATTTAAATGATATGCGTATTGATTAGAAACATATAGTAGCAGGAAACAATTTTTTGAAATTTTAGTCGTTCATAAATTTTTCTCTGGAAAAATGAAGACACTAGAAATAATATAAAATGAAAAGAGTACATCGTAACAGTTTTATTGTATTTAATGTTTCAAATTCAAATTTCTTAAGCAAGTTTTTAGAAAAAAACATTAAGAATCAGGGTAGCAATTTTACCACTGAATAAAATACGTTTTTGTTTACTAGCTCTGTTTTTGAAATTTTAATTATGATACATTCCTATTATTTTAAAAAATTTGTTTTACAGCTGTGGTGGCTCAGGGGATTTGCGTTCGCCTTCCAATGAGGTGAACCGAGTTCGAATCCAAGCGATGGCTGGTCGATACGAATTCCATATCCGACTTGCACCAACCACATCAGTGCTGACGCAAAATATTCTCAGTGGTAGACGGATCATGCGTTAAAGTCCCCTTGTATTAGGCTAACTGTGGGAGATTTTCGTAGTTTTCCTCTCCATGTAATGCAAATGCGGATTAGTTCCATCAAAAAAGTCCTCCACGAAGGCCCAATACTTGATCCAATGCTTTCTCCCATTACTTTGACCAGGATTTCCTTTATCTTCTGAATTGGGTTCAAAATTACAGGACTACGGAGTTGAACATTAGTAGTAAATTGGTTAGGCTGTTCAACTACGGTAATGAAAAAAGTGTTTTAATTGGTTTTTTCCCTCATGCATTGTCATACTCTCTCATTCATTGACTCCTATAACTATCAGTGAACATTTTGTGTAATACTAATTGTTAAAACTTTTCTCATTAGATTTGTTTGATCTAAAACTTAGTAGTGACAAATAAGATTCGTAAATAAGACACACAAAAAAAATTTTTTTTGTGTGTTAGAAATTTATATGTATGAAGCCGAAATTTGCAGGGTTGAAAAATAAACTAATACAATTTTAGGAAGTGAACTTCGACACAAATTTTTGAGCATTTCTTAAGAGCTTTTCAAGAGACGAACTTTTTAAGAGTCATTCAACTTAGTAAAAACTTAAAAATAGAAATAAAAATAATTTTATTATTTAATTTAAATGTGAAGAAATCTATATATTTGTTGCGCGCATTGAAAGGCACATTAGTAAATTCTTTTATTTAGAAATCAGAGAAAGTCGAAGCTGCTATTTTTGGAAAGCATATTGGCCAATTATTTTAGGAGGGAGATGGAAAAAATTCTTTTGGACAACTATTTAATGGCAGGCTTTTTTTATTTCCAATGGCAGAAATTAACAAACTCTTAACAAGAAGAATGTATGCAAATGAAATAGATAAGAGAAATAAGTCAAAGACTCATTAGCAGATGCCTAGCCCTCCAATATTTTTTCACTTTGAAGTCTCCGTGTACTGCCGAACATCCCATCAAGTGCTTCCTATCCATTACTTCGAATTTCCTACAGAGTGTGCAATTCGGACTCGTAAAAATACCAATGCAGTGCGCAAAACCGTCATAACCCACAGCAAGTCTAAATTCTGTCACAGCCTTTTCATGGGGTCTGTCTGAAATGCCCCGGTCTAAAATGTTCCCCCAACTTTTCAGGGATATACGGGAAGAAAGGGACACTTTCCGAATTTAATGGTAGGTTGATAGGTATTTTATTAACATCGTACTAGAGCTACGCAATGGGCGAGGGTCTGGGAAACATCCCTGAAGATGATCTAAAGACATGCCATCGCAATTTTGATACTCTGCAGAGGGAATGGCTCCCCTGCTCTGGTAGCCCGAAGCACTTGGCGGTAAAAAAGTTTAAAGGGAACCTATATCGGGCACCCTCGGTCTCTACGCAGACTGATCAAAGTGGTCACCCATCCGCTTACTGACAGCAGTCTGTGATGCTTGACTTCCGTGTTCTATAACTGAGAACCGTATCCTTACGATCAGCCCACTTCGAGACTAACGATTTAATGGAAAAAAGAGAAAAATTTAAGATAGGACTTAAGACTTAACCCTACTAAAGCATATTTTGTGAAACGTTATTTTCAAAAAATGAATTAAATTGTTTTCAGATGTTCATGAGAGTACAGTGGGAGTGGATTGCAAGAAAGTGAGGATCAAAGTGGGAGATACACCTGTTGATCTGCAGGTGTGGGACACGGCAGGACAGGAGAGATTCAAAAGTATCGTCAACAGGTATCATTTAAAAACTTTTATTTATTTCTTATACATATATAT